TGAGAATATTCACACCAAGCACAGTCCAAATTGATTGATAACACAGCCTTAGCGAAGGGCGCGTTCTGATTGGCTAATACGCTCAATCCATTTGCCCGTGGGTTGCACGCTGACGACAGTTTGTTTATTTGTACTTGTTCTGGGCAATTTTTCTCATCGATGTTGACACTTTTTGAAACATAATTCCTATTTTTCTTCTTCTAAAATATGGAAAAATCTAATAATTCTTTCGGCGCTGTTGAAGAATGTTCCTGTGAGCCCCGAAATTTTGAGCTCAAGTTTTTTTGCAGGGCCTCGAGATTTGCTAATTCAAACGAGCAGGAGTTGAATCAGCTGGTTGAACAAAGGCACTCGGCACTCGAAGAAGAACCAAAAAGAAAAACCAACAAACTGCTCTGTATAAACCTTTTGAGGTTAGTAATTCATAGCGGGAATTTTAGAGAGAATTTTTCAGCTATTTAGCTTACTTTTTAAGTTAAGAGTTCAGGAGAATTTACTATTCCATGACAAGTTTATAAGCTATCTGACTTAGAAACTCGTATCTGTCGGTTGTTGAGACTTTTTTGGGGGAAATTCGCGTATAATCAGTCATTGTGTGGTTCTTCCTACGCCATGCGAAGACATTTTCAAAGTGTCCATTGCATTCACTTTAAAGAAGAAGGAATCGGTCGCTTTGAGGGTCTTTTGCGGTTTAAGTGGAATGATCTCGGCGAAGAAGATGTGATAGGGCAAGGGTCGTTTGGAGCCGTTTTTATTACAAAAACCAGGAACAAGGACGAAGATTCGGCCCGGAAAGTCGAAACTGTGGTTTTGCAAGAAACCATCCCCTTTTAAAGCTTCCCGCTTAAAAAAGATTACCCTTTTTCAAGATTCTCGCTTTTAAAGATTTCCCGCATTAATGATTCCGGCTTTTAAAGATCCCCTATTTTAAAGATTCCCCATTTTAAATATTTCCGCTTTTAAAGATTCCCGCTTTTAAGGATTCCCCATTTTAAAGATTTCCCAGGCCATTCCCCATTCCCCGTTCCTCGATTCCTCATTCCTGTTTTAAAGATAGCGCCTCAGTTACGTATGTTCAACATTTTGCAAATCACAGTACAAAAGTACCGTATGTCAAGTATACAAGAATAGATTGTAGGTTTATCTGTCAGTAATCGCTGAATTACTTGTTATTCATATCTGGCGAAACGAGGCACTGAAATTAGTTAACGATGTAAACCAGAAACAGCGTCATGTGTTTCAGTGTCAGATCTTGGCCGTGATAGACTGGGAAGCAGCATCCTGGGGCCATCCATTTGAGGACCTTGCGTACTTCTGTTTTCCTCACCACTTCCCGCCGCAATTAGATATTTTCCCTGCTTTTAAAATCGGTAAGTACATGTCTCTACTTAATTTACTACTTCCCTCTAACTAGGACAGGAATTTCCCTAGCCCAGCTATATACAGAGTCTTTGGTCTTCCTGACAATCATTTCTGAGCTTGTCTTTTGTCGATTGTGCTCATAAAGCATCGTGACTTTTAAAACTTCAGAAAGAATTTAAAATGGTAGTCCGACCATTTTAAGGCTTTTTTGTGTTAATTTATATATTTCACGGTCAGGATCTTTGATTCTTTGTGAAGATGGAGATAGCTGGTAAGATTCCATGAAAATACATCTTCTGAGTTTGTTTTCAAAACTGAAATAATTGAGACTACTTTACTTCAGGGGTCCCTTGCCCACCTCCCCCCTCGTAACTACCTGAATTTATTCCACTGAAATAAATTAATCGTAAGGAAGCAGTTCTACTTGGTGGCTGATTCATTTCAGTCCTGTTCAATAAGAGGAGTGGGGGTGTCTCCAGAGAACCTGGCTTCTGGTATTGTGTATATTCGGTAACTACTGCACGAAGTGTTTTTGTTCCTATTTCTCCTCTTTCCCTTCACCGTGTGGATCCCTCTTCCTGTCCCCTCTTCCTCCCCCTCTCGTCCCATCCTTTGAAAGAGTTGAAAAGAGAATTCATTTGGTAAGGATTGTTCATGGAGTGGAGACGCGAACAGACGTACGCCTACGATGCAGTTACGATTGATTTACTCTTTCCTCAGTTTTGATGAAGTATATTTATGTCAGTAGCTGTTCGAGTGCTGTGCCATGGAGGTGTTTTGTGTTTTTAGGTCTAAGCTACAGTAGTATACCTGGAAATTCTTTCATGTGATGCTGTTCCTCACATGCATACAGTTAGGTGCATTACACAATAAACTTCTATTGATTGATTTTTTGATTGACGCATAAGCCGAACATTATTTGAAGGAAAATTATTTTCAGGTCACGTGGTAAGCTCCCGGCCAATGAAAGGGAAGAAAAAATGTATCGAATGATAACGGTTGTTGTTGATGTTGTTTTTGTTGCTTCAAAATAATTAACGAAGTAAAACATTTTGACAGGTTATCGCTCAGAAGGGATTCCTAGTGAAGAGGCCTTGCTTTCTTTATACTGCGAGTTGACTGGCCACACCCTGCCTCTCCCAAACTGGACATACTTTCTAGCATTGGTGTTTTTCCGCCTGATCGTAAATATCCAAGTGAGTGGACTTACAGACGTCCCTGGACTTTCCTTTGGCAAATATTGTTTCGCAAACTAAAATCTCAAAAATAACTCAAAATCTGTCTTACTGGTTTGTATTTTTGGTTAAATGTTAATTTATAATTCTTGAAATTTTTAACCTTTTTTGAAATATTTTGAGAAATTAAGACGTCATTAAAGCCACTAGTGCCCAGTTTCCTCTTCAGCATATGATCATTTATTTTGGCTCTATTAGAACTTTGGTGCTTTTCGAGTGTCGAATATGACGATTAAACACTTAAGAGAAGAAATTAGCGAAAAAAGAAAAGGTTTCTGGACATTTATAGAGTTAAAAAGTTGGGCTCCATAGATACTTCAAACTGCATTATGCCACTATAATCCAACTAATGAAAATGCCCATAATATTATTTTTTTTCCCTTTACTTTAGACCGGGATCGCACAGTTGAGATCTGGTTCTCTTGAACTTCCAATTAATCTTGATGCCATCGTTACGCTGCTGGAACCCGTTGTAGAACACGCCTGTACAATTGTAGGACTCAAGTAATTTGGTCAGCTGCACCTGATATCTACACGGTCGATTTTACACTGATGTATACCGCCGAATGGCAATCACATTAATAAATTGTTCGCGTGTGATAGAGTCTTTGCGTTCTTGTTGTAATCAATTCGATGTAACTGATAGCGTGACTTTCCTGGACAGATAGTAACTCATACAAATCAGCAGTATATGTAAGCAATCAGCATTGTTGTAAGGTCTGTAAAGAGTCATGTCATGTATGCAGTAAAAAATAAATAAATAAATAAACTGATAACCATAAAAAAAATACAACAATGGGTTCCCGGTGTCACTACATATGAGTTCGCTAGACTTCGTGCTGTTCAATCTGTAGCCTGTTGAACTTATAGATGAAGTTTACCTCTCTTTTTCTCTGACATTTTTCCCTCTTCAATGTGATATATTGTTTTTTCTATGAACGAAAATATTTCATAAGAATATCGAGGCTGTTATTTGTGCAATTTCAAGAATATCTTAAGAATGAACTCCACAGGCTGAGATTTCGAAACGAATATAATTTTTAAAGATTTCACAAATTAATAAGTTTCACAAGCTCTTTAATTTAAAACCTGTTTGAAGTAAATTCGTATCTAGCTAGCATGTCATGACTTCTCTACGAAACGCCGTATGTAACTACAAGTAACTTGTAATTCGACGTTCAGCACAAGAATTATTGTTTATCGATTGACTGCAAAATATGAAGTAACTGGAAAATTTATCCCATTTCCCCTACTACTGCTACCTTGAGGATCCTACCTCCTGTCCAGGGACCACGGAGGGGGAGGGTAGTTTCATGTCTACCGTAGTACCACTAGGACCTTGAAGTACTCTCGTCCTTTAGAAATCTACATCCTTTTGAACTCATTAGTTCAAACTGGACTGATTTAATTTTGACTCAAAACTGACTTCCGCACCAACCAAAACTAAAATGCATTTCAGTTGATACAGTTCACTTATCCGCAGGGAGAAGAAAAGTGCACGCTCCATCATGAACTGATATTGATTTTTGTTGAAGCTGCGTGACGTAGGAACGTCACATGACGTCAAACCATCAAGTAAATGGCCCTTCGGGTAACGTAAAACTGAGTTGGAATTCTGTTCTGTCTAGCATGGAGGAACAAAACAGTGATGCCTTAAAACTTCAAGAATTTATGAAACAGAGCATGGTAGAGTACACCTCTGATAGCTCGAAACTTCACGAATATCTGAAGCAACACCTGGTAGATTTTCCAACAGGAGATGGAGAGCTAAAAATGTTTAAGTTCAGGTAAGGGAATTTAAAAGTTTATAGTGGACTGTTTATCTGTTGGATCACTTGATGTTATTGATTATTTTGCTTGAATGTTTATATGTTCGCCGCAGGGTATAATAATTTGTCGCTTAGAATCTGAACAGAGATTTGCCGTATTGCTTCGATTCTTAATCGAACAGAACGGTTATCTAGCAAGTACTTGACTCGTACATAAATCGATCGTTTCTTGGTGAGCCAAGCTATTATTTGTTGGAGTCTCCTTTAGTTGAGAACGACGAGTTATTGATGTGACGCTCATTACACCCTTAAACCGACAACAAATGAAAAAAACGAAAAATCGCAAACCAGGCCACAGGGTAATGATCCTCATTTGTCATGTTTCCCACTTAATTGAGTCCAAAGGGTCGATGCAGTGGATCAAAATTGATGTTTGCGTGACTCAAATGACTTGTTTATATTCACATCAGTCACTTGGGAAGTCACAATATAATTGCCGTGACCTTCAATGACGTCTGCATACAAAAGGTTGTTAATTGGTATTGCTTTACAAGGCATGTTTAATCCGAGGCAAATTATTAACAATCCAGTAGAACTATCAATTGTTTTGGGTGGTTAGTATGGCTCAGTCACGGTTTGCGCATATTGAAAAGTTTAGCCTCAATATTTCAAAATTCGTCGTTTGCAATCCGTGTTAATCTTCTCCATCCTTAGCCAACCTTGTTCCTTTATGGTTTATCATTATCTCTTTGGTGTTTTTCTATCTTATTAACTGTTATTTTCAGGTTTCCTACCATTTGAAAGTAATTTTGTATGTGGACAAACTAACTCAAAATACCGTGACTAAACTCCTTTAATCCTCCATGGCTGGTTTTCATTAGCGCATAAACGTAAGCATATAAAGCAACATACGCCGACGAAGTAAGATGCAGTTGACTATTCTACAGCGGAAGAGCAACAAATAAAAAAAAATTAAACTTTCTATTGTATCGTGCCGGTTCTTAGTTGTCCGAATCATTAGCACTTACAGTCATTTGCGAACATATTTCTGAATATTTTATTGAACCACAGGACTGGGACCTCAAATCCAACCTTTTTACTTCGAAAAAACGGCAAAGAACTCGTGTTGCGACACAAGGCTCTAGTGGAGGTGTACATTGGTTATCACAAGGTACTAGTTATTGTGTCTATCGTCCTTGAATCGATTGATATGATTATTTTTAAAAATGATTATTATTTGCTATTATTATACAAGAAAACAAAAACAAATGAAAAAGGGTTCTCTGGCTATGACACGCTTTCGCTTTCGGTTGTCAGTTAAAAGCCCTCGCGCTCGATGAAAGCTATCAACAGAAAATATGTACAGAATGCGTGAGACCACAAAATAGAACAAGGGAAACGTAGCTACAAATGGTCTAGATATATTTTTTGGTTTTGGTTTGTTGTTGTTGTTGTTGTTGTCTTTGAATGAAAACAGTGAGCCGTTTCACGGTGGTCAGCGTAACCCGACTGAAAGAAGTGTGCCATGAGGTTCTTTGCAAGCGTGGAAAGAAATTTGTCAATCACTTGAAAAAATTTTAAATGCTAGAAGAATTATCAAAGGACCAAGCAAGCATTTCTATGTTGGATTCTCTGTTGCAAGTCTATCACTTCTGGAATATTATTTTAATCTAAGTCAAAACACTGACACTTGCTATTTTTATTTACGTAATACAGTAGATAACGGCGCTCTATAAATATTTATATTATTTATATTTAGTTTATCCTGGCTTCTTTTCTTCCATTTGTACGCAGTTTGACTATTTGATAATTAGTGGCGCAAAGAAAAAGTATGAGGGAGGAAAAAACATGAATTCCTGTTGGAGAAACTAATTTATTTTTAATGATTTCATTTTGTTAGGTCGATGTAGAGTACAAGATCATGTCCGCCCTCGCAAAGACTTCTCTCCCAGTGCCTAAAATGTATCTCTTCTGTGAGGACAAGACAATCATGGGCCAAGAATTCTATGTCATGGAGTATATCAAGGTATAATGCCAAAAGACGCATTGAGACATTAATCCTGATCCCTTAGATCATAACAGCCGATCAAAGTGCAAGAAAGGCGTATTGACACATGCACTGCACACGTACTCCTTGGAATTTGTCAGCATGCTGTTGACTTAACCTGGGTTTATGCATGCACTCTTGCCATCAATGTGGCTAAATTTGACAACATAGCCTTACATACTAACTTAATTTGGAGGAAGCGTGGCCGAGTACTTCAGGGCGAGAAAACTGCAGCCGGTTCGTTTGGTCTGTGACCGTCTGTTTGACAGACCACATTACTCTGTTTGCAGGCTCGTCAGTTCCCGGATGCAAATTTACCTGGTGTCCCTCCAGAACAGACAAAGGCCATCTTTGAGGCTGCAATCCGAACACTAGTGCAACTTCAATCGGTTGACACAGACAAGCTTGACCTAGATGGCATCGGTGACAAAGAGAACTTCTTTCATCAGAAAGTAAGTACACAACAAATACGACTGAGAGCTATAAGCTTAAATACTAGATCATTAGATAATGTAATTCAAATGTTTTTGTTAGCCTAGCCATCATGGCACATAAGCCATTATATTTATTTAGTTTAATTTTCTATATTTTGCAGGCGTTTTTTAATACAACAATTATTCCACTCGTGGTTGTTGGATATGACATGATTATAGCCAACTCGGCCTTACGCCACTCGTTGGCTATCTGCCGTCTCATATCCAACGCGCACTGGTGAAATAACTGTTAAAATATCCCCTACTGCACCTTGTTAAAGGGAGAGCGTCCCGCGGGTCCAACCGTATGAGAAACGCTGTTGATATCTTTCGGAAATATGTCCAAAGGTGGCTCTCCATCTCGTTTTCGTCTTTCAGTTGGATGTGCTTTATGAAGGGTACAAACGAACGGAACTGAAGGAAAATCCTAAAGCTCATTTATTGATGAAATGGCTGAAGAATAACATACCGAAAGATGACAAGAAAGCTGGTATGAAACGATTTATAGTTACTCTATTTGATTCTTGCTTTTTAGCAGATATAATCAAGGAATTCTAAATTGGCCTTTTGGTACGGTGTACCCTTACATTGTTGAAATAAAAAGTTCAAGTGGCTTTTTTACTTCCAGTTATTCACCACAATGACTTCAGAGTTTCAAATATGCTGTTTCACCCATAACAGGTGAGGAGTTACTTCTCATTATATTTTCCTTTGGTTTTATCTTCGTGCAGTTTAGAAAGAAAGTTTTTAAAATTATTTCTACACGAGTGAAGGTCAAATAATTGAAACATGCCCCGCGTCGCGATAACCTGTTTCCTTGGTACCTATTTCTGTCAATCAAAGGCCTTCAGTTGTGTTTGTTCAAGATATCACCATTGAAAAGCATAAGGCTTCGTGATGAACATTTTTCTGTCATTAATCGCCGAATTCAACAGCTTTTGTACCTGACCATTGCAGTTAATTAACGTTAAAAATAAAAAATTGTGTCATTTATTTCAGTCTCAGGTCTTGGCCGTGATAGACTGGGAAGCAGCGTCCTGGGGACATCCATTCGAGGACCTTGCGTACTTTTGCTTTCCATACCACTTCCCTGAGGAAATAGATGTTATCCCTGGTTTTAAAATCGGTAGGTAAATGCCTGTAGCTTAGCTGCTATCATCAAATGGAGTTACTATCTTTAACTTGTTTTCAGTATCGATTGTTAGGCCATGTATGATTTTTGTTTTTGGAGAATTTTTTTCATTTCTTCCAGTTCCTGTCACCCTGAGAATCTCGTTACCTGTCTTCTGTTCTCCCACCACCCGTAGACCTCTGGTTCCCTTTTTATTTCCGGGTTTTTCCCCTCCCCTTATCATAGCCTAGAATTACTGATGTATCATTGACTCCAAAGTATTCTTTATAGAATCCCAAAGGGGATTTGAAAAATACAGATTTTCCTCGATAAGAGCGGAAAGGAACCATTACAAAGCTCAAAGCATTATAATATGCAAAGGTTGCTCTCCATCTCGTTTTAGTCTTACGGTTGCAAATATACTACATGAAAGTTACAAACTATCGGGAATGAAGGAAAACCCAAAAGTTCATCTATTAATGAAATGGCCTAAGAATAACTTACCCAAAGATGGCAAGAAAGATGGTATGAATCCATAAATGCCATCGGTGTACATCACTGTTTAACACCGATTCTCCGCGGTATACCTTATAATGGGTCTCAACTCATTAACAAATTTAAATAATGTTTTTGGCAGGTTATCGCTCAGAAGGGATCCCTAGTGAAGAGGCCATGCTTTCTTTATACTGTGAGCTGACCGGAGACACCCTTCCTCTCCCAAATTGGTCATTCTTTCTGGTGCTGGTATTTTTCCGGGTGATCACAAATATTCAGGTGAGCTGAGTTACAAACATTCCCAGACATTCCTTTGGCTTCTATGTAAATCTCAACCAACCAGCCTTTTGCGGAAATATTGATTCGCATAGGACAAATATTGCCATTTTTACAAGTTTGTGACGGGGGATGAGGAGAGGGTCAACAATCATGCAAAGAAGAAAAGCGAGACTGCTGTTTCGAAGAAAGAAGCAATCGAAGAAATGTATTTTAATCATAAAAATTGCAATTTCCTCGATTGTGATTGGTTTGAAAACTCCTATTTTAAAAAGACAATAGGGCCATTTATAGGAGAAAAATAAGCCGCGGCTTACATAAGATGCGAACTGGACCATTTATACGAACACGGCTTATATAAGACGCGAAGTGCTCGAAAAAGTTCACAGCTTATTCTTGACTAATGCCTCGCTTTTGTGTTGGTTGTCATAGCAATCGCGGAATTGCGCGAGCTGTCGTGCGAGCGCAGGAAAAACTTGCGCTTGCGCAAAGTGACCGCATAAGTTCGCGTCCTAAGTAAGCCGCAAACAAGCCGTGATACCATTTATGCGTCTCGGGTTTTGAGATGCCCTATCTTACCGTTTGGTCGGTATATGTCAGGGAGATTTAGTCATATTTTGGTGAGACGAAGACTGAACGAGCCTCATATGCCACCTGAGCGAATCAAGACGATACGATTAGTTATTTACTGTATTCAAATTCGACCATGAATCCGGCCACACGAGGCTACTGACTGTGCGTAGAATACCAGGAAAGTACAAGGGGCTTCTAAATCGCTAATTGAAAATCTGGGAACGATAATATTTAAAACCGACGAATAGATTCACTCCTAAGGATTCCATGATCATTAAATTCGTCCTTACCCATTTATACACCTGGGTGGAGAGAGGCACTGTGAGAGTAAAGTGTCTTGCCCAAGAACACAACACAATGACCCCGGCCAGGACTCGAACCCGGACCGCTCGATCCGGTAACGTGTGCTCTAACCCGAGGCCACCGCGCCCGTCTCAGATAAACAACCCCAACATTAATTTAATCGAGTGACGACGAAGCAATCTGTAGCACATTTGACGCTGGAAAATGTGCACCCAACCAAGAACGATACAACAACTAGGAAAAAGAGCGAAATATTAAAATGCTCATTTGTTTATTTCAGAACGGGATTGCTCAGCTAAGATCCGGTGCTCACGAATTTCCACTCTCTATTGATGATTTGGTTACGATGTTGGAGCCCGTTGTAGGACACGCGTGTACAATTGCAGGACTCAAGTAATATTATATTTGGTCATCTGCGCTTAGATCCTGCACGTTAGATAACACTGGTGTATCCCACTGAACAACTCTTAACATCTATAAAATGTAAACTTCTTTTCATTAATAAATAGAATAATTTTTCTTGTAATCAATTTGGCTTAACAGCAGGAGTGACTTTCAACTACAGAATTTGTAAACAGCCTTCCAGTTTCCGGGTGAGATGGTAGCTCTATCGAATGGTTCAGTTGCCACCTTTCTACCAACCCTGAACAGTTAAAAAAGATCGATGATCATGAATATGTCGAACCTCACTTTACAGAAAACCGTTTGCATGCCATACGGACCCCTCGTCATGATGGACGGTAGTTTTTGCTCAATGTTTTCTTATATAATCTCGCTTAATATCTCCCTACCAAGAGAACCGTTTTTTTTTTTTTTTATCTCAACCGATAGTTTACGCTATCTGTTAACATAAGCGGCCGCGGTTGAGCGAGATCCGAAAACGAGAACAAGAATCCATGATAATCTGCTTTAAGTGCTCAGTTATTTTCTCATTTTTTGGTTCATTAATGACTCAATTCTTTCATTAATTAAAGCTTGTGGAAAGTGGAATAGAAATAGAACCTTAAAATTTCAAATGTGTTTCATAATTGCGTTTTAACAGAATTCGCACGATTTGTTTGTGGAATCAAATCAGAAAAATACGTTAAAAGTGCAGAAAAAAATTAAGATAAAATCCGTAGGGAAATCGAAGAATTTAAAATTTTAGTGGACCAAAACCTTGTACCAAAATAATTTTAGCTATTTTACAGTCGTTTTTACATTTCCTGAAAGCTAAAGATATCAACAGAAGCCTGAAATAACACCAAAAACATTTCCCATAGGAACTCGAGAAAATAAATTTCGAAGTTCAAAGACATTGTGCAAACACAGGTAAAATTTCATGATCAGTCTCATTTCACCATTACTTTTAAGTGTTTCATATGAACTTCAAAATTTGCTTTCGACATTTGGTGTTGTTGGAAAGGATTTTTTTGAGAACATATTTAAAACGGTCGCACAGAATTTTGCAATATGACGTAAATCATTTCGATACAGAGTTTTTGTCCACTTGTTACTCGAAACTTCTGGTGGGTTCCTTCTTGATACACTACGATTTTAACAGTTATAATACTGTGTGCTATCTTGAACTAAAATTTCCGATATAATGTCTTATTCTCTCTTCTTCATTCCCTTCAAAGTCTGCTATCCACGGATGATTCAGAGCTTTAAAAGCTGTTACCCGCTTGTGAGGATGTACCACAAGCATTCGTTTAACAAGATCTGTGGCGTCATCTGACACTTGGTCCCAGTACCGCGCTGACACATTGTAGCATCCTTCAACAATCAGTAACATCAATTTTCTGTCATCATTTTGCCAGAATGGTGGATAACCTACAAGTAACAAGAATAGAATTACTCCGCATGCCCAGATGTCAACCGCTGGACCAATAGGATCGGCCAGAATTGTTTCAGGTGCGAGGTACAATGGTGCGCCTTCTGCGTCACACTTGATGACGTCAGAATCTCGCGGAAGGCGACGTGCGAGTCCGAAGTCGGTGATTTTGGCGTGAAAGTGATTTTGATGGACGCTGTCTTGTTTCAGGAGAATGTTGTCTGCTTTAATATCTCGGTGAATTATCCGGCTCTTTCGGTGAAGATAATCAAGTGCTTCAAGAATCTGTAAAAAAGAAAAAAAAAAAAATGAAAACGTGAGGTATAGTGTTATCAATCAGTACATCTCGATGCAAGTTACTTGTCGTGTCAAATATTCTGCACTGATCACAAATGATACGGAGAAAAGGAAAAGAAGGAGATATACTTTAATTAAACCACCACCTCGGTGCACGTTGTACAAGCAGGGTTGTAATTTTCGTCAATTAAACCCAAGTTATTCGCTCCTATCCGAAACGATATCATCGGCGCTGTAGTCAGTGGTCAAATAGTAATGTTGTTTATATGAAACATCCGCGTTTTACAAATTAAAATGCACAATTAATCGGAAAATAAAATGCAGAGTCTTAGTAAATTGCAACATGTTAAATGCTCCACGAATGATACTTTGCAAATACTTGTTGTATTTGAAAAGAATTGGATACAAAGTTGAAGTTTTCAAAGTTTCTCGATTGCCCAATTCACCAGATCTAAGCTCAATTACGTTATTCTCTCTGATAACATCTCTTGAGGAAATATGGCAAAGTGTGACCTTGTAGAAACAAACATCTGTGCTCGCCACATGCTGCACGTATTTTTGTGATTAGATACGGTAAACAGTGGCGCATTTATGCTTCAGTTTTTTCACCTCTCTCGAACCTCTCAGCCACTATAGTGACGAGGCCAAAGAAGCAATTAAGAGAACCAAGTTAAGTTCATGATGCTTTTCGTGAACATGGCTCATTGTTTCCAGCTATGCGTTAACTCAAACTCGCTGAACAAAATCAACAGTTTGATTTATTGTGAACGTTTGGCAGAATGGCTTATAACGTCCGATTACATAGTTTTGTTTAGTAAACTTTGGCGGATATTCTTGGCTGTTTACCTGTAGAGAACTTTGCAGCATTGTTATAATATAATTAAAGTAATAAGCTTTTCATGGCTGAGCTCGTCTGTATATTACATGAGGTGAGCATAAATTGGTGATTATGCAGTCACACCATTATCGTTCTGGGTCCATTAAAGAAGTCATTTCGTCGAACGCTTGTCCAATATTGTGTTGCAACAAGACTGGTAGTACGTCTCCAGCCATACTGTTCAACAGCGATTACGTAATTAATATTCTAGAACTAAAAGGTTACGCACCTGATAAATAACACAGCACGCTTGTGTTTCACTGAATGTGGTTTGGCCAGCAATTTCATCAAACAAGGTCGTTCCTTGTATTAGCTCCATTACAATGTAAATCTCGTTTTCTTGAACAAATGTTTTGTACAAGGATACTATGTTCTTGTGTTGAACTGTTCTCCAAATCTCTGCTTCGGTTGCCACCTTTTTCAGGTCAGCCTGACTGCCTTTCGTAAATCGTACAATTTTTGCTGCGAACTCTTTTCCGCTTGTCTTTTCTGTACATTTACATACACTGGCAAAAGAACCTCGTCCAAGAAAGGATTTGATGTCAAAACTTTCCGAGAATGAATTGCTCTGCGGTTCAACTGCTCTCTTGCTTTCAGTCAGCATTGCTGCAAGGTCTGTAGAGACTTGTGCATATAGAGTAAAAAAAAAACAAACAAACAAACGATAGGTTACCAAAGTCCCAAGGAATGACTTCGCTTTTACTCGTGCTGCTCAATTTGTAGCTTGGTTTCCAGCTGATATGTTCAGTGTAGCTCTCTCTCTCCCTCTCTCTTATCATGACATTTAGCTCCCTTCAATAGCATGATGTCATCGAAAATCATCTGGAAACATCAGTGGTCGGGCTGCAATTAACGCAATTGGGTCTGTCGCGCCAATCAACACCAAATAAGGCAACTTTTTCTGGCAAGCTGTTTAAGTTCAAGTGGACAAAACAAAGTCAGCATTTCACTGGAATTGAAGCCTTTTATCTCCTTTTGTTTCCAGTGAAATTGGAACTACTCAAATACGTTCAGCTCCGACCCTACTGCTTATCGATTCAGAATTAAAAGTTTCGCGATTTCTATTTGTAAAACCTTCTCGAGTAAAAATCTATCTTACTATTAGTCAATGGTTGCCTCAGGGACCGATTAGAGTTAAATGGCATGTTTTTCATATCGTTTAGTACAAAATTTTGGGGTTCTTGGAATCTCAAAAAAACTTAATGACATGGTGTAATGTGCCATAACTGGGCGTCTTTTTGTCTTATTCTTGACATTTTTTAAACATTTTTAAAATGATGTAGATTTTGGATGTTTTCTGCCTCTTGATTTGGTGTACTGCTAACTTGAATTCCTTGATTCAGTGAACACAACAATTTGTTAGTCGTAAAATTTTAGCCCACTGAGCTTTTCAACTTACCCTCGTGGAAAACCTTTTAAATAAAGATTGAGTATATGAGTAACATTACATGCTCACCTGGGAGTCATGTTCTAAACAAACAAACAAACAAACAAACAAACAAACAAACAAACAAACAAACTTTCCCTATTCCTTAAGTTTTAAAGGGACTCATGATCAAAAACCATATAGTTACGTTCTTACATGTAAGCAAATTCAGTTATTCGAACTCTTTCTTTTAAAGTTGAAAAAACGCTCGTTTTAAGAATTATTGTGGCATTTCTTCAAAACGTCTTCTCGTCGATTTGTTTTTTCAAAAGTATTTTCTCACTTCGCATAATTGCTGCAACCGACGACAAAGCCGACAAAGTTGCACTGATGCAATGGTGCAACTAGTTTTGATTTTAAGTGAATGAATCAGCTCTTTGCCTCCTTATGGGAGGGCTGCATGAATTATCCTTTGTTTTCTTCATCTTCTGTGACCTCCACCTCCGCAAATAAGGAATACAAAGAAGTGAACACTGAATTTTTCAAAGGCAATACAAAGGACATTAGTCATGCATCGAGATACGCAACATTTTGCACAGGAAACGTGCCATGAGATGGCAACTAAGAGCCGGATAACAATTGTCCTTTGTGTCATAGACAGGTAGGCGACTCTACAATTGTTTATTCTAACCTCTGCTCCAGCAACTGAGCCATGTCATCAGATAACAATACACTTAAATGGCATTAGTAAACAGAACATCAGACATGTGATAAGAGTCTTACTAGAATAAGCCTTCACGTGCTTGTTCAATGAACTCAAGTGACGACATTTACATCTCAATAACATCGTTAAAGAAATTATTCTTTACCTAACACCGTTTAAAACAGCATGAATAATTTTGTTCTTTCGCCGTACTTGGTTATCTCAAAGCCCTATACTATTAAACACTTTGAGGCCAATGATTTTGTTGCAGACCACGAGAACCAAGAACGGAAAGCATTTTCATCCCTTCACCAAATTTGCCTGTGGCAAAACCACAAATATTCAATGTTTCAATATAGAGTTCATTAAAATAACATTTGAACTTTGCAATTTAACGTCGTGGAAAACCTTTACGATAAAGAATGAGTATATGCGTCTTCTGGGAGTCATATTCTAAACAGACTAACATTTGCTATTTCTTAAGTTTTCAACTAAGGCTCTGAAATAAATTTATTCGAACTCATTGATTAAGATTGGAAAATGTTCGTGTTAAGAAATGGTGAGAAATAGTGACATTTCGTCAGGTATTCTCGTCGATATGTTTTTATCTTGTTATCCATTCCCGACATTTTTTTTCAGAATGTTACAACACAAGTTTGTTCCGCGACCCAAGCCGCAACCGACGACAAATTTAAACCATGTTCTATCTTCTGCGATCGTCTGCGATTGTCTGCGATCAATTACGATCGTGCGATCATATGGAAACCAAAGTTCTGCAATCTGTGATCGAAACGTATCCCATAATATTTTGAATTCCGACCCATGATTCAACGCTTCTTTGCCACAAAGCAACCGCTTATTTGTTGTAACATGGCTGGCGTTGAACAAGGTAACGTTAGTAACGAGAAATTTATGGAGGAAGCTGCGCGATATCAGTGCGTTTACCACCGTAACAGTAAAGATTTCAAAGACAAATACAAAAAGGCTAACTGTCGGGAAAAAATCGGGGAGAAATTTATTTTATCGGCGGCTGAGGCGGAGGTCAAATTCCGCACCATAAGAACTGCGTATGGTCGTTATCTGAAGCATTTGAAAACGCTACCTTCTGGATCGGGGCGAGATGCGGTGCCAAGGGAATTTCAAAGTAGGTTGACTTAAAGAAGAAATAAATCTGCTTGCAGCAAAATTTCCTCCTCGACGTCCGCCATATTGTTTGCTGCGATTTTCCCGCCAGCTCAACGCGCGTGTAATTTTGACAGTTCCGCTGTCCGAAATGTATGCAACGGTCGGCTCTGCGATCGCTTGCGATCGTCTGCGATTATATGGAAACAACTCTCTTTGCGATCGTCTGTGATCTGCGATTTGCGATCCGCGATCGTCTGCGATCATATGGAAACCAGCCTAAAGCCGACAAAGTTACCGGTATGCTGGTGCAACCATGCAATCAAACAGTGAATGAATTAGTTCTTTGCTCCCTTATAGGAGGGTCACGTGAAGTATTCTTTGTTCTCGTCATGTTCTGTGGCCTCCTTCGCAGACGAAAAGGCCCCAAAAAAGAATACAAAGAAGTGAACACTGAATTTAAAAGAAAAAAATATATTAGTAATCCATCGTGATACGCAACACTTTGCACAAGAAACAGGCTATCATATCATCTGGCAACTAAGAGATGACAATTGTTCACCTTCTTATAATTATAGACAGTTAGGCGTCTGCCACGGAGCCATAACATCAGATAACAATATACTTACATGGCATTAGTAAACAGAAGATCAGACAAGTGATAAAGATCTTACTAGAAATAAGCTTTACGTGCTTGTTCAATGAATTCAAGTGCATGAAGACATTTACATCTCAATAAAATCTCCAGCATCGTTAAAGGTCGCGTTTTTAATAAATTATTCTTTACCTACCACGTTCTAAAACGACATGAATCAATTGTTCTTTAATAGGTCGTATTTGGTTATATCAAGGTCCTCTATCGACGCGAGTTATTTTCCGCCTAAAACTATTAAACACATTGAGGCTAATGATTTTGTTACAAACCACAAGAACTAAGGTCGGAAAACACTTCCTTCCCTTCGCAAAATTTTCCTGTAGCAAAACCGCAAATACTCAAAATATTTTTATGGACTTCATTGAAATAACAGTCATTTTAAAAACTTGGATGATGATCTAATAAAAGAGTCAATGAATTTTCGGCGTCATTTTGCCCAAACGTCAAATGTGAATATATCCGAAGATGTAGCGAATTGACGAATTAATCTTTTCTGCCTCATCGATTCTCAGCGCAATATTATAAAATAACGGGTCAGCTTCGAGTACAAGAAGGACTCGATTAAAGATCTTTCTCAGTCAAAAGAGTGATTGTTGCAGTGGCTTGGCATCGTGATCGCGGGACTGAGTAGGGTGGAGGGAGGGGAGTTGGCGTGTAATGGACGCCGGACCACAACTGAGTGTCTAGCAGACGATTTTTGCGGGCCGAAGTTGTATTTGTGGATTTGCGAAATGTCGTTTGCTTTGATAGCAACAATGGAAATACAGGAGAACCAACCTAACTTGCAGAGAAAAACACGTGAATCAGGAATTGTTTGTCTCTTAAATAAACATTCTGTGCTGCTGTAAATTACTTCTATGGATCATGGACCAGCGACAACAAAGTGCACAACTCGAGAAACCTTACAGAAACTCGTTTCTTGTTTCTCGCTGGAAGTGTGTGTCTTCACACTATTTTCGAGGGAATCATTTTTGGCGGGAACAATTTTGCGGACAATGAAGAAACCGCAAAAATCTCAAAACTTTGATCTCACAAAAATTTCGTTCTCCTAGATATCGTTCACGGTTGAAAATAACTTTATATGGTGTGAAAATTGCTCCTCAATAATTTAATTTGCAGCTGATAACAACTCCTGATAGATGCCAGTGGTTACTGCAACATTATACCCTGATCCCTGAGATTTTCCCTCTTCTCTCCTGCTTTAGAAGTGAAAATGTGGTGAAAATCAAATGAAAGACAGTTCTTTTGAACCGTGGCTTTCAGAATCGAGCACAACGTTTGAGCAATACGAGATAGTTACTATCAAAAACTAAAAACCCTATAGTTGCGTGGGTCTTAAGGAATTAACAAATTCCAAAACTGAGTTCACTCGGTCATTGGTAGTCTTACCTGAACAGCTGGAATTTTGCGCCAGTATTAAAACTTCTCAGCCGCTAAGAATATCGCGAAATACAGTTGTATCAAAGAAACTTAAAAAGTGGCAACATTCTTTCTATAAGAACAGCTACGTCACTCAAAACTCATCACTTATATCGTCTTGGCAATGCAGTACCTTAGCTGAACAATTGATCAGTTTTAGAGTCGAGTGTTACTGAACTTAAATCCCGGTTATCACTGATCCCGGTGTTAACTGACCGAGCAATATGGCGGACAAACCCAAGTTAAAGGAGTTACATCACGTCTGGCGCATCTTCAAAAGTTTAGCTAAGGTTTTCAATTTCGTCATTTGTAAACCGTGTTAAACTTCTCTAACTTTGACCATCCTTGTTCCTTTATGGTTTACTGTAATTTGTTTGGTGTTTTTCTATCTTAGTAAACCACTATTTTCAGGTTTCCTTCACTTTGACGGTATTCTTGTACGTTGCCAAAATACTGTGACGAAGCTCTCTTTAAAGACGTGCGTATCCCAGTAGCTCCCAGTACTTTTGTTTAGAGACTACGAAGGTGAAAAATCAAAGCCAGTAGTATAGAAGACGAACCTACAAGTGGTACAGACCCTTTTCATAAATGACTGCCAATTATAAATTCTTTTGTAAGTATTAAAATTAGCCTGACTAACCTCGTTTTTAAGTTGATAATTCAAAAGAAGTTTTACTCCCAAACGAGTTAAGTGAGGCTAATTTAAATGCATACAAAAGAAATTTAAATTGGCAGCCATTTATGAAAAGGGTCAATAACATAAGGGTCTGTGAAGTTGACTTACATAACTAACATCTTAAAAAGCGCCTGTTTTACTCATCACGAATATAAAACTTGAAATGATATCAAACTAGATCAAATAAGCGCGTTTTTAAAGAATCTACGAGTACACTCAAGATCGACGAGGAGATTCCTCTGAGATCGCTCTGGAACCATAATCTATGTCGCTGAATTCACTATCAAACAGCGCTACTACTTCATATGCTCACGTACTCTTTCTTTCGATTTTTCTAGAGCCATTTGATTAGCTCTCGGGTGTCTGTCTTGCTCCTTCTCTGGTTCACTGACCATAACTGTTTGGGTTTGTATTTAGAGGCTCTAAATATAGAACAAGTCCACCGCGCCGCCAGGTATCAATCACTATAAAGACCTATACATTTAATACATTTTGGTCTTGAAATGACTCTGCCGTCATGGCAGCCCCCCAGAGAAAAAAGCTTGGGCTCTCGATTTGAGCCATTTAAAGTTTGGAAAAAATCCTTTTAAATACACATGACTGTAAAAGGAACTTGTTAGATCGAAAGGGTACAAGTCTAGTATTGTAGAAAATCAGTCTTTGGGTAAATCTAGTCGGCCATGAATTAATTGTTTCCGCCTCGCTGCCGGTAACACTCGATCCTGATAATCCAATACGCGGATTTTCATAGTCATAACTCATAGCACGATTTTTTTTATCCTTAACAACTTGGGACACTTAGGGACTTTCGTGACACAGGTGAAGAGAGAAATTATTCTTTTCAAGACATTTTGAAGAATGATCTGTATCAGGTTCTTTTCCGCTTGTCGCCCACGGTGGCGTGCAATACTCCTGTAATTGTCTGATTATGTGACCGGTGTTTCCTTTGGGTGGCTGCGTAACAGCCCAGTGTTTCCTGAGGCACGCGATGAATACAAACCACAAAAGAACAACATTGAATGTGTGAGACCAGAATCTCCGCGCAACCACAAGACCACAACAGCCGCGAAAACCTGTCAAAGAATTTGCTTGTTAAAATTCTGGAAGGTCATTAAATTTCGGTGTTACCGTTTGGGCACTCATTTATAACGACTTGACTTCAATTGAAAGAGCTGCCTCTTAAGCAAGCAATTTGTCGTTTCTTCCCACCCACAGGTAAGCTTTTTCGTTTCTGGCCAGTCTCCAGTCTCGATCGCTTGTCACCTTGGGAATCTTGTCATGAACATGTCATTTCTTAAAGTGAAACATCAACTTTATCTGCACGGTGTTTCATAAAGTTTCCGTGTTCATGTCCTGCAAAAGGCGTGATTATGATCATCGATAACATATATTTATTAGCTATTTATTTAGAAATCGAATTTGATTATTTATGTAGGATAAATATCTTTAACTTTGCCCGGATCGGTGATGAACTTTGAAACCACTGTTAGACTGGACTATTTAATGCATTTCATCGAAAAATAGATTTTAAAATTTCTGCTAAACTTGTCAAATCTGGCAGTAATGTGTGTATGTCTGTAGCATAAACATTGAAAAACAGAAAGGAACATTTTTTTTCTGTGTTGGTTGACCAGAATTGCATCAGAATATCACATTGATGTCGTACGCAGAATATCTCGGAAACGTGTTCAACCCCTGGCCAGTGAGCATTTCTCTCTTGCCAAGGTTAAGAACGTGATAACATTAATTAAGAGATAAGGTTTCACGTTAATTTTGAAACAAATAGCCATAAATTGTCGCGCAGGGGTTATAAAAACACTGACATCTCAAATGATTTGTTTATTTTTCAGAATCATCTACTCTCCTGTGTAACATTGTGAAATATTTAATATGGCGACCCTCACGGATAGGGCGTTTGGTCAAGATTTCGAAATGAAAGACTTCATTGGCCAAGGAACCTTCGCAAAAGTCTTCAGATGCGTGGAAAGAAAAACTGGGCGCGATTTTGCAGTGAAGGCCTTTCAAAACGAAGATGAAAATTTTGATCCGAAGCTCATTGACAACGAAGTTGATATTTGGAGGACATTACAGCACCGCAACATTGTATCTCTATACAAACGTTTTCATGAGCATAGTCGCGTGTGGGTTGTGCTGGAATTCGTGAGTGGAAAAACTCTGCTGGAGGAAATAATGAATCAAATCGTGTTTCCTGAAGAAGAAAGCAGAAATATTATACTGCAGGTAAGAAACAGTCATTTTCCAGATCTGATAGAGTCTTAGAGAGATACAAGTTGCCACATTTTCATTTTTTTTTGTTATGAAACCTGTATCGCACTTTTTTTTCCATACTTGATTTTGTTATTTGCTAGTAAAGCCTGAGTCAATTTTTCTCATGCGTGAAAGGTGTTCCTATAGAGCGTGCGTAGTAAGAGACAAGGCAAAGTCATGCTGGTGTCTGCTGATGTAGGGCCGGTACAGGCATAACTTACAATGATGATCACATGTATTTTTAAACGCTTTCGGTTTTAAAACACCGGCGGTGTGGGCCGTTCATTGCCTGGTAAAGCTCAACACTCAATAATGCTCATATCAATTTCAGATTTCCTCGTAATCTCATATGCTTGAAACAATGAAGGGGAGATAAAATATTATAAATTGCCCCGTGTTAAAAAAAAAAACACGTTATTATTGATCCCAGACGTCTATTGAAATTGCTTTTTTTTCCGTGGGGGGGGGGTACTCCCTTAATATGGCCTATATAGGTATGTGCGACCCCAAAGGGTATGGTTTTTCAGCCGTTTTGGTCATAAATGGGGTATCGATTTTAGCCATTTTGATCATTAATAGGGTCTGTTTCTACTCTAGTCTTGAATTAGGTTTGTTTTTAGAAGAAGCTACGTTTTCATCATTATTGATAAGACCGACCAACAAATTAAAAGCCCTTCACGATGCCTTTAGCATCAATATGAACTAGGGAACTAAGCATAAGGCAGGTCTGAAACAGGGTATTGGTTTAGGGTCAGGTCATAAATAGTGTAGGGAAAATCGCAGATTTTGGTCATAAATAAGGTAAGGGTTTAGGGGAGCGGGCCGCACACCCCCCCCCCNGGCTTTTTTTTTTTTCTTTTTTTGAGGCCGTTTCAAGCACCGTTGGTTTCATTCACGTGAACCAAAAAAAGTGAGCACGTGATGGAAAACAATGGCCAAAGTTTGCAGCACAGCGGTAGCAAATACCGCGAAAGTACCAAGTTCGATGCAAATCTTGTTCATGCGATTGATTTTGCGTCTGTCGAACTCTTCTCTGTAACATATCTTGGATTGCATCTTGCTAGAAAGTGCGAAACTCAACAAACTTGCAAACAAACTGTGAAGCAACTTGCTTGGCGGCAGAGATTCACTCGCTACGCCCCTGATTACACGATCATAAATTCGTCATCACGTGATCACTTTTTGAATCACGTGAATGAAACCAACGGTACGTGCAAAGGCCTAAAAAACAAAAGCCATTTCAACAGGCGTCTGGGATCAATAGTAGTTTGGTAGTTTTCTTTCGTAGCCATAGCTAGCGTGGCCAACAGTAAAAAAGTAAAGGTAACTATACTTTGCTGGTTTTCCCAATTTGAATTTCCAGTAATCTCTCGCTATAAATAGCATTTTCTACATTATTTAAAATCGTAAGCCAAATTTATACAAATCTCAGTCTGTTAATTACCGTTTATGATTTCTGTTTGAATCTGGTTAAGTTTAAGACATTGCTGCGTAGCTTGTGGAATTCTGCACGCAAGGCACGAGAGCACCAGACGACAAATGAGAAGCCGCGGGGAAAATGGGGAAATTTTGCTACTGGCCTTGCTGCTTAAATAAAGAATTCGCGCTTAAAATCCTACCAGCAACGAAGGCTAATGCAACCGATGGCCCTCCTTTATGCATAAAGATCCCGGGACCAATGCTGTGAATGATATAAATTTTCATACGAGGAGCACGATATGTAGCAACATTTTTCACGTCTCATATAAGGAACTCGTTTCGATAAAATACTGAATTGCACATTCTTCTTTTTCACATTTCAGCTTATGGAGGGCCTTGAGTACCTTCACCGAAACAGAATTGTTCATCGTGACATTAAATCGGACAACATTCTCCTACAAAAAGTTGATGGTAAAACGATCGTGAAACTCACAGATTTTGGACTTGCACGTCGACTTCCGCAGGACTCTGACGTCATCAAATGTGACGTGCAAGGCACACCATTGTACCTCGCACCTGAAACAATTCTAGCCGATCCTATTGGTCCAGCGGTTGACATCTGGGCATGCGGAGTGATTCTGTTCTTGTTACTTGTGGGTTATCCACCATTCTGGCAAAATGATGACAGGAAATTGATGTTACTGATTGTTGAAGGATGCTACAATATGTCAGCGCGCTACTGGGACGAAGTGTCAGATGACGCTACAGATCTTGTCAAACGAATGCTTGTGGTTCATCCTCACAAGCGAGTAACAGCTTTTAAAGCTCTGAATCATCCGTGGATAACAGACTTTGAAGGAAATGAGGAGGAGGCAAATGGACACTGTACAAATAATTTTATTTCAAGATAGCAAGCACAATCACCAAACCGTAATTGAGAAAGTCCTATTTTCCTAGTATCCGAGTTCAGCTATCCGCGAAAAAGTGATCGATATTGTCCGGAAGGTCAATAACTGAAAACAACCAATCAGATTGCTCGATTGCTAGCCTAATATTCAAGTCTTCGACCGGGTAATGTCCCGGATTATCTCGTCCAAAAACTCTTATTATTTTTCTTTGTTCCTTGCTTTTTTGCGGAAAACGTCAGGCTCTCAAACAGAGTTGCGCTATTACATTTTATGTTGTCTTCACAGTTTGTTATGGTGGGATTCTTTTCTAACATTATCAGTCATGTAATAAATCTCTTATTAGCCAGCCGAACGTGCTTGGGAGTGTACTGCGACAATATCAACCCCTCGTCTGTCAATACCTCGTGCCGATATTCCACAGTAGGTTCTGCGCACTTGGTTTTTCAGACCGGGCTTTTTTAATCTCTTACGACCAGGGCTGGGACAGATTCACCCTTACCCTCCTCCCCCCTCCCTTCGTAACGTCAAAAATATTTACGCAAGGACAACGAGACTCACACGGTATATAAGAGGTCAAAAGATCTCTGTTTTGCTGTAAGCAACATAGGATAAAGACGTCCCGTTATCCGAATAGCACCATTCTAGGTCAACTATCTTGAATTTTTTGATTTTCCAAAGCGCCAATAGTTACTCAAAAGTAAACAAAATCAATTAAACAATGCTAAAAATAAGACTAAAAAAGTAAAATTAACCGCATGAAAGTTAATAAACGGCCATAGAAACATCAAGTTCCGAGAACAGTGAAATTTATGCCAAATTGTTAATGCTAACCCAGGATTAAAAGTTAACCGAAGTATTAATTTTTATTGAAAAAATTGTTTTTCAATGCTTATGTTTTGCGTTGTTTGTGTTGACTGAAACTAAAAACAGAAGGGCCAACAATGTAAACCAAAAACCTTACCGAAAAGTTTAAAAATTGAAATCAAAATTTTCGCTAATCCTGGGTTCTCTTAATCGGGCTCTGAACAATAAGGCCCTGATGGGAAAAAAATGACGCGAGTTTTTTAAGCCAATCGTGTAGTGTAGCAGACTCAAATAAAAACTACTCTGATCTGAGAGCACAAAGCATATCCTTACTGGTATCTTCGTAGTACGTTTATTCAATAGGAAACGTATAAAATCGCCAGTGCTTAATTGCTTGACTAGGTGAGCGAGTTATAAAATTCTACCTAATTCTATTATCATCAGAATAACATTCAGCACTATACTCAAAGATCACCAGGTCTAAATTATTTGTCATTGATAGAATTATGAAGTATTTTGACTGGAACAGGCGTCGCCGGGATAGTTTGGATCAGCGACCGATCGAATAACTCTGATAGTACCGAAGGCTTCGGTACTATCAGAAAAAAAGTTATTGACAGGGAAGCGACATGCAGGAATGTATATCAAATCGCTTCCATTTTTGCTCCAATCTTCTTTTAGTAGGCTAATGGTGGTCTGGCGGTTAGAATTCTGTAAGCATGCTTTGCTCTAGCTCTCACGGGTAATTTTTTCGCGGCTAGTAGACGATGATGTTTGGTTGGACGACGGGGACATTGACGGGTAAATTGCGAGGAAAGGAAAAATACCATATTTCATATTTTCTCGATTAAACGCCAGATCCCCCACGTAGATTTCGTAAATAAGACCCTCAAGGAATTTATATTCGAGTCAAAATAAGGTTTACATATAACTACAAGATATCTTAAAGCCCTAAAAATAATGAATAAAAACTCTAATAAACTTCAGGCTCGAATAAACTGCAAAAGTCCATAAACGCCTGATCCGTGAGCCCGGGGACGTTTAATCGAGAAAATACGGTACAGGGTATTGCGGAGAAGGTTAGTAAGTATCGCTCTCTAAATTGTTGTTCGGTAATGGTAAAAACAAACAAACAAACAAACAAACAAATCACAGATTGCCCTCTTTTATAATCCTTTATTTTTCTGTAAACCATAAATTTACACCCTTGTATAATAGCCAGAAATCATTTTGCGAACCGATGCAGCTACTAGTGATAGCGATTCAGTAACCTCCCTCTATCCACGTATTTTTTCCAAAGGAGTTATCCAGGACGGGAGCTTGACAAGGCGTTCAGATCAAAAATGCGCCAAAGAAACTGTGGTGCGTGTGCATGAAAGCTATCCCAGCCCAATGTGTGGCCGCCACCGTAATGACATCTCCAGCTTTAAGGTAGAACACCCCGCCTGTCGAATGTGCAAAGTCTGCGTTTCGTGTCGTGTGTTGGGTGGACCATAGCGACGATTTTGTTGTTAACAAGGAGAGAAATCCTTACGGGTTTCCCTCTATACCCGCGATAGTAAATTTGTTCGTAGATGTAGTACCGTCCAGAGATGGGCACTGTCAGTTTCCCGTCATGGTACTTCATACCGCCTGCAAGATGGCTGTAGGCAGACTTGAGATTCCAATCTTTAACAACTACAAAACATAACATGAATGATGTTTACTACATTCTGTTTTTAAACCTCTAATTATAAGTCTGCCACTTGTGAAATTATTCATGTTACTTTTATGGAATGTGCAAATCTAGACCAGTTATCTCTAGTTTCGCTGCTAAAGAAGAGTTTAAGACTGTCGTCATGCGCCCGTGATATACAATAAAAGGCGCCATGGAATTTCAAGAATGTTTGAATGAATGGGTTATTCTTAAGGTATCTGAGAAGGATGGGAAAGGGATGGAGCAATATTGCATTAATGAATTACACAAAAATATTGCCGGACACCGAAATAAGGGGTGGCGAATGGTCCTTCAAAAACCATGGGTCTCGCAAAATTTTTGCCGAATTTCACGGGTCTCGCAGTCTCGTTTTTTAAGCGGTTATGGGCATCTCGCGGTCTCGATTTTTTTTAAAGTCTCGGTCTTGCAATTGAAGAAATCAAAATGTCTCGGGCTCGCAAAGAAAAACGCTAATCTCGTCGTCTCGCAAAGTCTCGCATTTACCATTCGCCACCCCTAAAATAGACTGACTCTAACAAGAAGCGTGCTTGTGTCGGATACTATAATGAAAAGAAGAAAAGGCTAAAACGCCACATTTTAGCCTTTTCTTCTTTTCATCATAGTATCCGTCCCTTTCCTTTCTTCAATGCATCCATAAGACCACTAAAAATCCTCGCCATCAACTTTTACCTTCGTTTACTTTATAAGTGACATCTCCTCGATTAGTGGAGTCAATGTGCGCGGAAGGTTTCTTCGGATCCTATTCAAAGGTATGTTAGAAATACAACAGGTTTAGATGTAGTGGGCAGACTCGNGGGCTTTTTTTTTTTTCTTTTTTTGAGGCCGTTTCAAGCACCGTTGGTTTCATTCACGTGAACCAAAAAAAGTGAGCACGTGATGGAAAACAATGGCCAAAGTTTGCAGCACAGCGGTAGCAAATACCGCGAAAGTACCAAGTTCGATGCAAATCTTGTTCATGCGATTGATTTTGCGTCTGTCGAACTCTTCTCTGTAACATATCTTGGATTGCATCTTGCTAGAAAGTGCGAAACTCAACAAACTTGCAAACAAACTGTGAAGCAACTTGCTTGGCGGCAGAGATTCACTCGCTACGCCCCTGATTACACGATCATAAATTCGTCATCACGTGATCACTTTTTGAATCACGTGAATGAAACCAACGGTACGTGCAAAGGCCTAAAAAACAAAAGCCATTTCAACAGGCGTCTGGGATCGATAGTAGTTTGGTAGTTTTCTTTCGTAGCCATAGCTAGCGTGGCCAACAGTAAAAAAGTAAAGGTAACTATACTTTGCTGGTTTTCCCAATTTGAATTTCCAGTAATCTCTCGCTATAAATAGCATTTTCTACATTATTTAAAATCGTAAGCCAAATTTATACAAATCTCAGTCTGTTAATTACCGTTTATGATTTCTGTTTGAATCTGGTTAAGTTTAAGACATTGCTGCGTAGCTTGTGGAATTCTGCACGCAAGGCACGAGAGCACCAGACGACAAATGAGAAGCCGCGGGGAAAATGGGGAAATTTTGCTACTGGCCTTGCTGCTTAAATAAAGAATTCGCGCTTAAAATCCTACCAGCAACGAAGGCTAATGCAACCGATGGCCCTCCTTTATGCATAAAGATCCCGGGACCAATGCTGTGAATGATATAAATTTTCATACGAGGAGCACGATATGTAGCAACATTTTTCACGTCTCATATAAGGAACTCGTTTCGATAAAATACTGAATTGCACATTCTTCTTTTTCACATTTCAGCTTATGGAGGGCCTTGAGTACCTTCACCGAAACAGAATTGTTCATCGTGACATTAAATCGGACAACATTCTCCTACAAAAAGTTGATGGTAAAACGATCGTGAAACTCACAGATTTTGGACTTGCACGTCGACTTCCGCAGGACTCTGACGTCATCAAATGTGACGTGCAAGGCACACCATTGTACCTCGCACCTGAAACAATTCTAGCCGATCCTATTGGTCCAGCGGTTGACATCTGGGCATGCGGAGTGATTCTGTTCTTGTTACTTGTGGGTTATCCACCATTCTGGCAAAATGATGACAGGAAATTGATGTTACTGATTGTTGAAGGATGCTACAATATGTCAGCGCGCTACTGGGACGAAGTGTCAGATGACGCTACAGATCTTGTCAAACGAATGCTTGTGGTTCATCCTCACAAGCGAGTAACAGCTTTTAAAGCTCTGAATCATCCGTGGATAACAGACTTTGAAGGAAATGAGGAGGAGGCAAATGGACACTGTACAAATAATTTTATTTCAAGATAGCAAGCACAATCACCAAACCGTAATTGAGAAAGTCCTATTTTCCTAGTATCCGAGTTCAGCTATCCGCGAAAAAGTGATCGATATTGTCCGGAAGGTCAATAACTGAAAACAACCAATCAGATTGCTCGATTGCTAGCCTAATATTCAAGTCTTCGACCGGGTAATGTCCCGGATTATCTCGTCCAAAAACTCTTATTATTTTTCTTTGTTCCTTGCTTTTTTGCGGAAAACGTCAGGCTCTCAAACAGAGTTGCGCTATTACATTTTATGTTGTCTTCACAGTTTGTTATGGTGGGATTCTTTTCTAACATTATCAGTCATGTAATAAATCTCTTATTAGCCAGCCGAACGTGCTTGGGAGTGTACTGCGACAATATCAACCCCTCGTCTGTCAATACCTCGTGCCGATATTCCACAGTAGGTTCTGCGCACTTGGTTTTTCAGACCGGGCTTTTTTAATCTCTTACGACCAGGGCTGGGACAGATTCACCCTTACCCTCCTCCCCCCTCCCTTCGTAACGTCAAAAATATTTACGCAAGGACAACGAGACTCACACGGTATATAAGAGGTCAAAAGATCTCTGTTTTGCTGTAAGCAACATAGGATAAAGACGTCCCGTTATCCGAATAGCACCATTCTAGGTCAACTATCTTGAATTTTTTGATTTTCCAAAGCGCCAATAGTTACTCAAAAGTAAACAAAATCAATTAAACAATGCTAAAAATAAGACTAAAAAAGTAAAATTAACCGCATGAAAGTTAATAAACGGCCATAGAAACATCAAGTTCCGAGAACAGTGAAATTTATGCCAAATTGTTAATGCTAACCCAGGATTAAAAGTTAACCGAAGTATTAATTTTTATTGAAAAAATTGTTTTTCAATGCTTATGTTTTGCGTTGTTTGTGTTGACTGAAACTAAAAACAGAAGGGCCAACAATGTAAACCAAAAACCTTACCGAAAAGTTTAAAAATTGAAATCAAAATTTTCGCTAATCCTGGGTTCTCTTAATCGGGCTCTGAACAATAAGGCCCTGATGGGAAAAAAATGACGCGAGTTTTTTAAGCCAATCGTGTAGTGTAGCAGACTCAAATAAAAACTACTCTGATCTGAGAGCACAAAGCATATCCTTACTGGTATCTTCGTAGTACGTTTATTCAATAGGAAACGTATAAAATCGCCAGTGCTTAATTGCTTGACTAGGTGAGCGAGTTATAAAATTCTACCTAATTCTATTATCATCAGAATAACATTCAGCACTATACTCAAAGATCACCAGGTCTAAATTATTTGTGTCATTGATAGAATTATGAAGTATTTTGACTGGAACAGGCGTCGCCGGGATAGTTTGGATCAGCGACCGATCGAATAACTCTGATAGTACCGAAGGCTTCGGTACTATCAGAAAAAAAGTTATTGACAGGGAAGCGACATGCAGGAATGTATATCAAATCGCTTCCATTTTTGCTCCAATCTTCTTTTAGTAGGCTAATGGTGGTCTGGCGGTTAGAATTCTGTAAGCATGCTTTGCTCTAGCTCTCACGGGTAATTTTTTCGCGGCTAGTAGACGATGATGTTTGGTTGGACGACGGGGACATTGACGGGTAAATTGCGAGGAAAGGAAAAATACCATATTTCATATTTTCTCGATTAAACGCCAGATCCCCCACGTAGATTTCGTAAATAAGACCCTCAAGGAATTTATATTCGAGTCAAAATAAGGTTTACATATAACTACAAGATATCTTAAAGCCCTAAAAATAATGAATAAAAACTCTAATAAACTTCAGGCTCGAATAAACTGCAAAAGTCCATAAACGCCTGATCCGTGAGCCCGGGGACGTTTAATCGAGAAAATACGGTACAGGGTATTGCGGAGAAGGTTAGTAAGTATCGCTCTCTAAATTGTTGTTCGGTAATGGTAAAAACAAACAAACAAACAAACAAACAAACAAACAAACAAATCACAGATTGCCCTCTTTTATAATCCTTTATTTTTCTGTAAACCATAAATTTACACCCTTGTATAATAGCCAGAAATCATTTTGCGAACCGATGCAGCTACTAGTGATAGCGATTCAGTAACCTCCCTCTATCCACGTATTTTTTCCAAAGGAGTTATCCAGGACGGGAGCTTGACAAGGCGTTCAGATCAAAAATGCGCCAAAGAAACTGTGGTGCGTGTGCATGAAAGCTATCCCAGCCCAATGTGTGGCCGCCACCGTAATGACATCTCCAGCTTTAAGGTAGAACACCCCGCCTGTCGAATGTGCAAAGTCTGCGTTTCGTGTCGTGTGTGTTGGGTGGACCATAGCGACGATTTTGTTGTTAACAAGGAGAGAAATCCTTACGGGTTTCCCTCTATACCCGCGATAGTAAATTTGTTCGTAGATGTAGTACCGTCCAGAGATGGGCACTGTCAGTTTCCCGTCATGGTACTTCATACCGCCTGCAAGATGGCTGTAGGCAGACTTGAGATTCCAATCTTTAACAACTACAAAACATAACATGAATGATGTTTACTACATTCTGTTTTTAAACCTCTAATTATAAGTCTGCCACTTGTGAAATTATTCATGTTACTTTTATGGAATGTGCAAATCTAGACCAGTTATCTCTAGTTTCGCTGCTAAAGAAGAGTTTAAGACTGTCGTCATGCGCCCGTGATATACAATAAAAGGCGCCATGGAATTTCAAGAATGTTTGAATGAATGGGTTATTCTTAAGGTATCTGAGAAGGATGGGAAAGGGATGGAGCAATATTGCATTAATGAATTACACAAAAATATTGCCGGACACCGAAATAAGGGGTGGCGAATGGTCCTTCAAAAACCATGGGTCTCGCAAAATTTTTGCCGAATTTCACGGGTCTCGCAGTCTCGTTTTTTAAGCGGTTATGGGCATCTCGCGGTCTCGATTTTTTTTAAAGTCTCGGTCTTGCAATTGAAGAAATCAAAATGTCTCGGGCTCGCAAAGAAAAACGCTAATCTCGTCGTCTCGCAAAGTCTCGCATTTACCATTCGCCACCCCTAAAATAGACTGACTCTAACAAGAAGCGTGCTTGTGTCGGATACTATAATGAAAAGAAGAAAAGGCTAAAACGCCACATTTTAGCCTTTTCTTCTTTTCATCATAGTATCCGTCCCTTTCCTTTCTTCAATGCATCCATAAGACCACTAAAAATCCTCGCCATCAACTTTTACCTTCGTTTACTTTATAAGTGACATCTCCTCGATTAGTGGAGTCAATGTGCGCGGAAGGTTTCTTCGGATCCTATTCAAAGGTATGTTAGAAATACAACAGGTTTAGATGTAGTGGGCAGACTCGTACCAAGTCTTTTCGTGTGTGTGTGTGTGTGTGTGTGTGTGTGTGTTTTGTGGGACAGAAGATTGGATACGAGGGGTGGATTAAGGCGCGCAGGGTCTCATGGGATCCAGACTGCTTTCTCTTTGAAACTATCCATGTTGCACATGGAACTGGCTAGCTCAAAAGACCACCACAAACCGCATAATATCAAGCCAAGGTTTAATAATTATTCGATCTAAAAGAAATACATTTATAATTCGCAATCAGAACAAACACAAATAAATCTTTATCTCAAAGCTAAATTCAGAAAACTTGCATTTCAACTTACTTCTGTGGCGGGTAGTTACAGCAGTCGCAGTTTAGGGTTAGCACTGAGTCTTAAACAGATTCTCCAGGTGAGCGGGTTTAACAAACAGATTCTCCAGGTAAGCGGGTTTAACAGACAGACTAAAATAACTTCTTTCTCACTTCGATTCTACTAAAAAACTGGTTTGAAACACAATAACCTAAGGCCTTTAAATCAGTGTATATAATTTATGTCAATCACGGTTCTTGTCATCAAATAAATCTGTCAATTAAGAGCCAACGCCTACTTGATCAACGAAGCAATCCAAGCTGACCTGTAATTAGCGACTGGGTACGAGTCTGTGTAGTTGGCGGTAGATTACAATATTTTTCAGGACAACCAAGTAGGAGTCAACTTATATAAAAGTACATGTAAGTACGAGAAGTCTTGTTTATATGAACTAAAACATGGACCCCCCCAGCCAACATCCAGTACCATCGTCACTTTTTTTTAAAACTATGCTTCCAAACACTTTGAAAAACAAACAAACAAACAAACATAAATGGCATCTAGCCTGGATTCATTTTGGTAAACAATTTTAATTTGCTCTTCATAAAAAATGAGGACCTTATCCAAACTGGAGAGAGATTTCAAAACCTTATCAAAAAATCTACAGCAAACGACCTGTTCTTACCTGTAAACGACAGTTACAAGAAGATGTCCCAACATCTCCCTTTTCACCTTTGGCTCCGGAGTCACCTTTCGCGCCCTTTTCAGCCTATAATAACCGTTAAAAAATAAACATCGAATCAAAATCACTTAGCGCGTGTGATCCGGACGGAATCATCAGAAACTCTTACAAACTGACGAAAATATGAGAAAGTAAAGCAAAGCTAGGAATACTGCGACAAATTAATACGGACATTGTCTATATCAGCCACATAACCAAATTTTACAGGCTACCTAGGATTCACCGACAAAGTCCCTAGAATATATACAATTTGTGCTAGCCATGATATTTCTCATTTTAGGGTACATTTTTCTTACTTCCTTATTTCGTTAACCCAGCTGCTTACTGCTCCCAATGTTCCACTGAAGTACAATTACTGGGAAGATGAAATTAATTGTTTCTCTTACCTTAACACCGTCTCTGTATTTAGCGGCGTGGATGTTAATGTTGATTGGATTGCTTGGCGTTGCACATAACTTCTGCGAAGCAAACAAAACTGATCAGCAAATTTTGAACAGGAAGAGTTTGGCTGTGATAAATGGCTGCAGCAAGCCTCTCTTTCAACTACGAGAGTGAAAAACGTGTGCATTGAAGGAGTTTTCTTTTCTTTTAAGCTATTTTGGTTAGCAATGCTTTAAGGTAATTAAGATAGGGTAATTACTCTAGTTTGAAAATCGACTATCTTACTCGGTTTCCAACTTGAATTCCGGCACGGCAGAAACAAAAGCTCACACAGGCCAGGGTAACGATGGCAAGAACGAACTTCATCTTTAGTAGAACAATCTTCACTCAACCGATACAAGTCAAGACTGAGTGCAAAGCGACGGATGTTTTGATTTATTGTCGATAATTGCAAGTAAAATCTTGAACGTAGGCTTAGCAAATAAAGGTCTCTACCTATTGTTTCAATGATGTGGTGAATTACTTGGTATGATTGGCTTGTCAATCATCCTATTCATATTAGAAAATCAGGAACTTGAATTCCCTTCGTGTTGGGCGATTCACTTACGTTCGCTGTTAGCTACTATTAGACCAGACTAAAACTCTTCTCTTGTGTTATCTCAACAGGATTATTTCAGATATTTTGTTTTCAAATTAGTATCTTTCGTTAACTTTGTACTTTTTCCAAGGCTTTGAAATTTATAAATCTGGTTCAGTTAACTATCTCCTGTAACAAAGTATGGCACATTGGCTGCGCGATAAATAAACACGTGTACAACAGGTATTCACTCACAACCGTAGTTGATCCAGAATGAAAAAATAAAGTTAAAAGTTAGAAGGCTAGCTATAAAAGGGGTGTTAAAATGTCTTAGAACCGAAGATAAAAGTCACGCGAAATTTCGGAAGAAAAAAATAACAATTCATACGGCAAATTTGAACCATAACCCTGAAAAACGGTTACGAAAGAACTCCTCTTGTTCTCGCGATGTCACGAGAAGCGGTCATGAAGTCAACGTTTAAGCAACCTTCTGTTAAGAGCTTGGCATTGATGAAAGTGACCTTAAGTCAAAATTGATTGAAATAATACAATTTAATACTTTAGGATCTGCTTTACCAATTAAATAGTCATTATATTGTTACATGTTGTTGACTGTGTAGAGCAATCCCCCATAATTCTAAATAGCAAGGTCTCTCTCTGGCAATCTTCAAAAATCTTTCGAGGGTGGCGAAGGAGGAAATTATAGTTTACAACTTAGAATCTCCGTTTCTGTTTTCCCAGTTTGTTTCTGCCGTTTCAGGGATATTTGTGTAATCCTGCATAGTTCGGTCTATCGCGCGTTTTTTGTCAAGGAGAGCTAAACGCGAACGCTACAGACATTCATATAGCAAAATCATTTTCCTAATTTCCCAGCTCTTGTTGCCTTTGCGAGAATCGTAGCTGGCAATTGTTCGTATCTAAACGAGAGTTTACAAATCCGAAAACAGCAACATAGTTTCTAAATCAGGGAAAGTCAAAGTCATACTTCTCAAAAAGGACTTAATCGGAATTTTAAGGTAGTTACAGAGCTCAATTAGAAATTAATATTCCACGGAAACTGCGAAATCTTGGGTGCTTTTCATTCTGTTCCTACTTAAAAAATGGATCGGTGGGTCTTAATTGGCGCCATAACCAAATTCTGATGAGTTTTTACTTAGTCGTTACAGACATCTTTCCTTAGTTCCTTGTCTTACTGCGGATAAAAGAGCGCACAAACATATTCCAGTTAGTGTGCGAGAGGATATCAATCACGCATGTCTTAGGGAGCATCTCTAGACCGTCATTTTGTCTTTCTCTCGCAAAGATGAAGCTTTATCCTTAGGCTTTTGGACCTTTTGACTTTGTGTTGGCAGTCGCTTCCCCCTTCGAATAATTACAGAACGATTCGTAAAGGAATATCAAAGAAGATTTCGATCACCTACAAGTTAAACGCGCGATCTCGCGAACTCTAGATCTTAGGATGGACTTTTATTTGATATTTTTTTCTCATTTTGTCTGTTAATAACTACATTGTTCATTTGAGCGAGAATTAACTAAGGTGCGGAAGACTATGAAGCAGATAAAGCGAATCTAAAGTTTTTGGAAACGAAGGACAACAAAATGAGCTCGCCATATATAACAATATTTTCAACACGAATTTACATTGCATACAACAGTTAGTGACTGAGGTCCAGATCCACCAATTTTGCAGTAGGCTCAAGTATCGAGTATAAAAGCTTCTAGTGTATATTACCTGTATTTATGTTGCTTTCTGTCTAAATTATGTGTTCCCACCAAGTTACTCCACTACCGGCGTCCTTCATTCTCAACAACTGAATAAAAAATTCCGCAATCAGAGAGTACGTACATTGGTGTAAAAGCTATCCTCTTAAATTAATCAGAAATTCGAACAAAATTTAACAATTCCTCGGCATTATCTAATTTCTCAGTAATGTCGTTATATTAAACGGGATTAACGGAGAGGGTATCCCTATGGAAGCAGGATAGCTTAGAATCTGGCTTCTTGTACATGAAGAAATACTCAACACAGATATTTGTAATAACTTTATGGTTGAAACTACTGCATTGCGCCATTACTTTAAGCCTTTACTTACGAATCAAGCTAAGAACGTTCAGAAATGTTATAAAAATACTTTATTATATCTGTCTCGTCTTTAATTAAGGCTCTGTATCATGGGCACCTGCGTACGTCGACTTCGATTCAGCAAATCGTCACTTTTACAACTTTTCATTCAACCAAGCCCAAAAACAACATTGTGTAAAGACGGTCAACAAATGAAAACATCGGTTGTTAACGATCAAAGGATTGACGGAGAATAATCTTCATATCTAGGTGAGCTACACAGTACATTAAACAGTAAAATTGTGACCAGTTTTATTGTGTTAACATTTTTAAACCTTGGCCGCCATCGCTCAATTTGCAAAAAATTTGACTTGGTTCAATAGTAGTCACGTTATTGTAAATCCAAAACTGATTAGCGTCATTGCGCTATTGGAAATTTCAAAGACATCCATCTTCACTAAAAAACTGAAGTGAGTGATCCGTTATTTTATAGCAATCTCGATCACCGTCATTAATAAGAGCATTGAAAAATATTTGTTTCAAAAAATTTCCAGCTTGTTTGATCGATATGAGTGGAAATTTCGGTAATGAAATTATTTGTGTTTGACCGACCTATTTAATACTGGACCAGGCGAAAAGATCATTTGTTCAGTTGTAAAATTATTCGATGTTAAAGCATTTTGTACATCATAAAACTTTGCTCACAGTCATTTCCCGTTCTATTCACCGGCTAATGTACTCAGTTTTATTTCCCGAAGTATGGCAATCGCTGCGAAGGAACCAGCTTTTAATTAGAGAGTGCTATATACGCGTGCCTCTGCATTTTATTCAAATGACCTTTTCTTTTCGTTTAAAATTTTTTTTTTTGCACTTATTGCAATCCTGAGCTCGAGTGAAACAAATTTGAAATCAATGCAAGAGCAGGATTTTTAATTCTTGCTTTTATAATCTTGCTTTCATCGTAATCAGCAATGGTTCATCTGGATTACAGAAATGCATGAATTAGGACTGAGGGCCCATCCTTAGCGCCCGGCTTAGGCCGAAACCGAAATTTATCAAAAAAAGACTCGTGGATCAGTGGCAGTGGCAGTGATTATCAGTGTAGAATAATGCAGCAAAAAAACACACACACACAAAAAACAAAAACAAAAAACAGAAAACAACAAGTTAAAAAAAAAAAAAACCAAATACCAAATACAAAATCGAGATTTTTCTATTGTATTTTAATCGATTTTGCATTAAATTTTCATTTGCGCGGACCAAAATCATTCCGCAAACTACAAACGTCGATTCCAACTTCAGCGAATACAAAATATAGTTTACTTGAGGTTTTCTGTAAGCAAAATTAACGAAACTGTCACTTTTGACAACTGAGAAAATTGTCTTTTTCTCGTTGAACATATGTGAAAATCAAACACTCAGTTTCTTTTGATAATAAGGAAGCGTAGGCACCTCTTAGGGAAATTGGAACTGGGAAGAAAACTTTCTTATTGTTCAAATTATAACAAGTAGATCGACAAACGAACAAAAGGCACGGACCTGTTTGGGAGACAGTTGAAAGCGAAGATGACATGTCTGCCATTTTGTTACTTGATCTAATCGGTGTGTGTGTGACAATAATTAACATTTCGTATTGTTTTTCCAGTGTTTATTTGTATTGTCTCATCGTACAGCACGAAATTTTTACGCGAGTGCTATGTTAGGATTTAAGTTTTCATTTTTGCTCTTACTTGCTGTTGATTTTCCCTTCATTTTACTTTGCAGGGTCAAATTAAATTTTTCTTAAAGTCTTAGAGGAGAAGTAGGGGAGATATTAATTGGTGTGATTCGGTAATTTCTTGAACGAAAGAAATGTCCACAGACGCAGAGGCCTAAGAATGTAAACTTTGCATTTAAGAGAGATATTGGTCATTTCTATCTCAGAAGTGTTTTCTGTCGAGCCAAATTATTTGGAAGCAACTATAATAATTGTGGGAACTTTCTTTCTGTTTAATCTTGGGATAACGTTAACAATTGATCACTCCATATGGTTAATAATACTTCCAAGAGATCTAATTAATTTGTATAATCTGGCGTTATATGTCGTCCGTTTTATTATATCGGCCAATTTGAATTATCTATTTCCTCGTTCAATTGATCGATACCGTTTTGCATGGCCAGTTGCATTATTATAGAATTTCAAGACATTGAAAATTACTCACAAACTTCATTTGATTATTAAAAAAAAAGTACAACGAATACTGTACCCGAAACTAAAGCGGATTTCTGTGTCCACTAGTTGATACTAATNGAATGTAAACTTTGCATTTAAGAGAGATATTGGTCATTTCTATCTCAGAAGTGTTTTCTGTCGAGCCAAATTATTTGGAAGCAACTATAATAATTGTGGGAACTTTCTTTCTGTTTAATCCTGGGATAACGTTAACAACTGATCACTCCATATGGTTAATAATACTTCCAAGAGATCTAATTAATTTGTATAATCTGGTGTTATAAGTCGTCCGTTTTATTATATCAGCCAATTTGAATTATTTATTTCCTCGTTTAATATTTCGATACCGTTTTGCATGGCCAGTTGCATTATTATAGAATTTCAAGACATTGAAAATCACTCACTAACTTCACTTGATTATTTAAAAGAAAGTACAAGGAATACTGTAACCGAAACTAGAGCGTATTTCTGTGTCCACTAGTTGATACTAATTCAGATCTCCATGAGCCAATACTGACGCCCGTCAAAGTGTACCATGGCTATTTTAAACTCGTGAGAAACTGGCGATCCATATGGACGGTAAACTACAGCGCGCGCCGAACGTTTTACATGGCAAACTGAAGAAACGAATGTTAAAAAGTTTTTCTTTAGGCTGTCAAACTTCAGTCAATATTGAGCCTAGTGATGTTTGCATGGTCGGAAATAAATAAGTCGCGGTGAAAATTATTCTGCAAAAAACATTTAGACTATTACGCGATGGCCGGATCGCAAAACGGTGTATTAATTTTGGAACATTTCAGTAAATGGATAAGCGGAAAATATTCTGGTAGTTTGCAAAACAATGAAACTTTCTGATCAAGGGACTTTGAGACATATAGTCGTGCACATTCGATTGATTTTGGACGGTTTTGGATGTCTCGCGTCCAAGCGATGTAGCGCGTCCGGATTGAACAGAAGATATCTAAACCTCATATAAAATTAAAGCTTATAGAGCTGGTTATCAAACTATAGCACGAATTTTGAAATAAAATAAATTGTCGAATTTTTCACGACCTCTAAATGCGAGCGTCCGAATTACCTTTTGAAAACTACAAGTCAAAGCGAATTTTGTTCCTCAGTTTCCAGACCCAAAGCGTTAAAAACACGTTTCTGCGTTTTTCCATATTCAGTTGCAGTGAAAAGTTACATTTGATAGTACAAAAATCACTCTCGTCGAAAAAGATATTTCGAGATAAAAACGTTTTTGCTGTTTCTCTGTTGAGCAACCTTTTGATGCACCAGTTACTGGCGGATATTGTGAATATTATTCCAATTACTTTTTATTTTTATGGGAATAGCCCTTTTCACGGTTACTTTTGCTCATTTGCATTACAATAAAATCTAGCATGTATGAGGCAATTTCGGGCTATTTTGTAGTTTTAGCCCGAAATTGCTTCGCATCCACGTTGGATTACATTGTAATGCAAATGAGAAAAATTAACCGTGAAAAGGGCTATTCTGCATCTTAAAACCATTGGCCAAGTTGTAAAACTGCAAAAGCCAAAAACGAGTCTCTAACATCTAAGCTCAATGAACCAACGGTGGTTTTAACTAAAAAAAGCTTCGCTACGCAGCTCTCTTACCGCGAAGATTCCTGCTTTGATAGTTTTCCTCTCTCAGTTGTCTAATGGTCGATTGTGACTAAGCTGGCGATAACAACCCAATCTCCTCGCGCTCACTTTGCAGGTGGCGGTCACCAAGCAAGTCCTCACTACAAGATGACCTTTGAACCCCACCCCAGGGTCCTCTCGGTGGTGCTTTTTGGAACGGCGGCTGGACATTTTGAGGACCATCGAGAAGACCCTGGGCACGAGGTTGAGGTTGGCCTCCTGAGGCCCTCCCGAAAAGCTGGACGCCTTCTGCAAATTTGTTTTACCCTTAACTAGTGCTGGGCGTGGTTGGATTTTCACAGTAGCGCCCCCCCTCCCATATAATTCTCCCTCTCAATCATTATGAAGTCAAACTGTACAGCTTATCACTGAGTATTCCTTCTTTATTAAAATGTGTTTGAGTGTCTACGAATGATCACGCATTTGATTTTACTTTGTACTTTTTCCTTCGAGAACTCAAATGAATAAAATACATCATTGACATGGTTGCCAGTCTCTGACTTGTCAGCGACCATAATACTGATTAAAGGAAAACCATCCAATATAAACACGACAGAGAACATTTCCGGCCCACCATGTTAGAATCTAGTTATCAAAATCTACAGCAAACACAAAATAAAATCCCATAAGCTGTCCCCTGACATCAAAAGGAAATTTAGAATTCTCCGAACAAATGCCACATTCCCTGCCTTTTTCTAGCTTTTCCCAAGTCCTTTCCGTAACCTTTGGCAACCATGTGACAAAGTGCACAGACATTTACAAACAAATGCTAGAAAAACTTTCCCAAGTAGACTATACATCGCTCCATGTGAAGCCTTCCTTGATGTATACGAGACCCTTCTGTACAGAAATAATTACAATCAACAGTTACAAAGTTGGTCGCAACCGTATTTTTCGAGAAAAACAAATGAAATGCTGATAAAATACTCGAGCTCAAGGCGGGAAATTTTAGTACAACTTTTACAGCAAAACATACCTAAACGCAATGCTTCGCAGTTTAACGCTAGTTTTCGATGGTACGTATTATATTTGAAAAACATTCATCGACGGAAGCCCATCAAGCGTCAGTGTCAATCACGCACTTAGGATGCCAATCAAAAGCGTTTCAGGAGATCTCCCTAAAACATCAACACTTCATGCCTCTGCCTTTGTCTCGAGCAATTTTCGTCATCCTCAAGGTACATTCTTTCAAACTCCTCTCGGAAACCTCGTAGAGACGGCTGCTCAGAACAGCTTGGCGTGTTTAACAGTGAGTCAAAGAGCTTCTCCCAGATGGGACTCCAATGCCTAAAAAAATGATAGAGTAGCAAATGTTTCTTTAGTTAATCCTGATAGATCTATAATAAAGTGGTTTTACAAGCCTTTTGAGCGCGTCCCAAAGTACGAGTAGTTACTTCAGAAGCCAGCGTGAAACCGATTACTGGCAGTATGCATACCTTTTAAACGATTTCGTAATTTTCCATCTTCCCTTCTCGTCCTTGAAGACTTTCATGTAATCAAGAAATATGAAACAGTGAATTGTGCCCAATAAGCCGTAAGTATCGACCTGTGGGATGCAAAGAAGCGAGAGCCATTAGTCGCTACAAGAAAAGCCAGGCTGAGCCACAAAAATCACCTTTAATGTTACTAGCCACACCACTAAAGAACATCATTTTATATCAGTCAAATATTTCTTGCATTTTGATCGGTTCTTAGTTATAATTCCATCTATGATATGCGCCTGCAAGGAATCATGGTAGTTGCATTCATCATCTTGGACTGGGTATTTGTTTTGATGAATACAACTACCAATATTCCCTGCAGGCGTGTCTCTTGGAGCAAATGAGCTATTAGGGGACAGACGCATAGATGACGTCATGAAACAGTGTTTTTGTTTTGTATCTTTATTGTATAAAACAAATAGATTTCATACGTCTGTTCAGCAATAGATCACAGAAGACGTCAAAATGCGGTAAGGACATCAGTAACGTACTCGGCTATTGCCTCGTCTGCCTCTTCTTACATTTTGACGTCAGCCGTGATCAATTACTGGACAGACGCACAGCAACATGGAATCTATTTGTTAAATTGTGACTTGTTGTAACAGAAGCCTCGCTACAAATAAAAAAAGAGTAGTCCCTCTATCGCTTAGTTTGTTGTTCGTGACGAGAAAGAAAACAGCGAGAAAAAAATGGCCTCACCCTCAAGATTTCACGCTGCCATTTTTTCCCTCGTGGTTTATTTACGGTCTCGCTCGACGGACTAAGCGAAAGAGAGACTACTCGTTGTCTACGCTACAAAAGAAAATCACACTAGTATTAAGAACATCTTTATTGTTAGTTGCAAGCTGGGTTCGTCAGGTACCTGTGTGGTCCAAGGTCTTGATTCTTTCATCTCTATGCACTGGAAATCTTCTGTGTAACAGTTTGTGTTGAATGTTGTTCCAGCTGGAAACAGAGTCATATCAATGCTACGACCAAAGTCTATCAACTTCAAGCAGGCGCCATCCAGAGTGTCTACATCACTGAAAACACAATCGGCGTTATTTTAGAGACGAGTTTTTTTATCACGTAAATAATCGATAATACGGCACTTCCTAGAACAATTGCCCACTTTGAATAAAAGAACCAGCAGACAATGCCGCCATTCCCTCCCCTACCCAGTTGTCTTTTGCTATTACGGAGGGGCGGGAAGGGGAAGGGAGAGAAAGGGCAATTACCAGCTGAGTCCGCGGTTTTTGTCACCTATGTTGCTAGGTAACATGACTTCTCATCCTTGCGATACACTAGCATGACAGTGTTCGTGATACTCGCGAGTACTCGCGATTGTTTTTGGATATAGACCGTGGGTGCTACAGCTGACAAGTAATCGATTATCGTATTAACAATAAAGAGATCTTATTGCCCAGAAAAAGGTGAAGCAACGACAAAAACAATACGCTTTGAGCAGACAACAACTCCAAAAGTCAGGGCGGGATTAGAAACGTCTGATGGGAGAAGAACGAAAAAAAAAAAAGAAAAAAAAAAATTACCTATCCAAGACAAGGAAGTTGTCAGGTTTGATATCTCCGTGAACGACATCACAAGCGTGCAGGGTTTCTAAGATTCTCAACAGCGCGATAGTGTAATAAAACACCACTCCTTCCTCCATAGTCTTGTTCTTCACCTTGTATTTGTTCACCATGTCCTAAGGGAAAAGATCTCAAATGTAACCTTTGTGAAATATCACGGGATGAATTAAACCCAGCTATATAGCCTGAGTAGTGGGAAGCGCGGTGGCCTCATGGTTAGTGCGCTCGACTCCGGAGCAACGCCAAGCGGTCCGGGTTTGAGCCCTGGCCGGGGACACTGTGGTGTGTTGTTGGGCTCACGGTGCCTCTCTTCATCTAGGTGTACAAATGGGTACTGGAGAATTTAATGCTGGGGGTAACCCTGCGATGGACCAGCATCCCATCCAGGGGGAGTATAAATATTCCTAGTCGCTTCATGCTACTGAAACCGGGATAAGCTCCGGCTTGATGAGCCACTTGGCTCGTATGCAGACTTTACTCACCCTACCTTTTATAACCTGAGCTTCAAGGGTCCCTTTTTGAACGCACAACATACTTCCCCTGTCAGACATCGGCGACTTGAACCGTGTAGTTCATGTCATTGGTTATTAATTGATTCAAAACCAAAAAGCAACGAATCCGTGAAAGGGGGGCGTTTACTTTTTGCCGGAAAAACCCCGTTGGGGTGACCCCGGGTCCGTACAAACTGGGACAAAAGAACTGCCTCCAAAGGTAGTTAGTGATTGAGATGTTTGGTTAATTGGTAAACAACCACAGTAACGCGTTGTCACAGTTTTGATTATCTAGTTTTCTTTTTGTAGCTTCCTCATAGTTGTAGAATGCATTTCTATATTTTCTATATTAACACTCTGGTTTAATCCAAAGTTTGTATAGTTTGTGCTATCCTGTTGCCTTATTACTAACACTACTTACCAAGATAGTACCAAGCGGTTTGTACTTATCGACCAAGACTGATGAATTAGAGTACACAAACGCTGCCATTGGATTCATAAACATTGCCAGCTGAGAAAAACAGAAAGCGGTTGAGTAAATTACCACGCTATAAACAGGTATTCTGCTAATGAAATTTGAACTTAATTGCCAGGTTTAGCATAACAGTGATTTGATTCTGTTACATAGAGTACATACTTGGAGGAAGTGGTATTTTGAGTAATTTTAGCCACGTCCAAAATTACCTTTAAATTGAAGGACCCCTAAAACTAAATAATAATAGTTTCTCATGATAGAAAAACGCTAAAGAGATAATAATAAACCATCAAGTAACAAGGATGGTTGAGGATGGAGAAGATTGTCACGGATCACAAACGACGACCTTGAAAAATTTAGGCTAAAGTTTTCAAGACGCGCAAAACCGTGACGTGGTTCCTTTAAGATTGCTCGAGCAGCGATAGACTTACCAGTTCTTTCGAGCAGCCACGCGCTTGAATTCTCATTTGAAGCTGTCTGCTTACATAGAACTCCCATTCGATCGAGATCCTCTGCACCTGTCGGTCGTCAAGTTAAGATATACAGTTCATGTAAATGAACGGGATGTTAGCATATGACCAAACGCTAAGTTAACACACAACAAAACTTTTCCGAGTTCCTGTTGTCTGGAACAAAACTATTCATATAGAAAGATGTCCCTCCTGCAGGTTCTTTTTTCATGCAAATCAAACTCATTTTCATATGAAAGGTTTTGCACGGGACTCGTTTTGAAATAGAGGCACAAGGTAACTCGAGAAGGCCTACTGGACAATCACGATCAGTCATGCAATGAGCCAATCACAACTCAAGGTGAATAAAGCGCGGGAAAAATGTCACGTCAAGATTGTTATTGGTCAGGTATCAGGTTCATGCAGCTTTCTGACAACGAACTGTAGTGAATATTATAGGTGAAGTGTATTTACTACCTTCAGCACTACGGCACTTTCGTCATCTGTTTCAAAATCATCTTCATCAGCATCTCCTCGTTTATTAGCCAAGTAAACTTTGGCAAAAGCTCCTGATCCTATCAGCTTTTCAACATGGTATGTGTCGTCGTCACCTTCAAATAAGTAACAATACATAAATCTAGAATTCAACTATGAAAACACCTTAAACTAACCCCTTCCTTAAATAAGATAAGATAAGATGAGACAAGATAAGAATAAAAATAAAAAAATCGACAGAACTAAGCTTTTGTCGAGGCCATCCCTTTGGCGAGGGAGTCTCTGCATGCTTAATAATTCTTAGAGCTCGTATACTGTTGCGCGAATTCCTCTTTGACTTATTTCATGCATTTCCTCGGCGCTCTACCTTAACCTAAGTGAGTAAAGTATGCTATTTTGTGGTTATTCTTTGGCTTGTAATTTTACACATCGCGAAAAAAGCTTGAATGTGCATAAGGTTATTGTGACAGCTCTGCTGAAAACGTATTTTCGTTAGTTGTTATTCCTGTTGCGTAAAGTGGCTTGGATAGACTCTCTAGAAGATCAGATAATTTCGCACTGACAAACTAACATGTGTAATTACAAACCTACCTAAACTAACTGAGGCATTGGAAACGATCCTTGGAACTTCTTTGCTTGTCGTAACAAATCCTTCATACGTCGACAGAGGAGGATTTATCCTTTGAAGAAAATCGTTAACAACGTCGCCAGCGAAAGGGTTGACCACAGAACAACCACCGTTGTTCGCCTCTGGAGCAGTATCGGTTTGGCAAATGCTTGTCTCTTCTTGTATCTTACTCAGTTCTAAACCATTGTGCTGCGACGCACTGGCGGAGCAGGAAACTCGCCTGGATGATCCATTGGAAGAATGGCTGGAATTTGTAGATTTGGAATCCTCGTGGCTTCCCTCGAATATTGGACTCAGTACTTTACTGGGAGTTGACATGAAGCTACCACCTGCTTGAGCCCCATCCGCGTGCGCGGAAGAGAATTCTCCTCCGTCAGCAGCCAAGTCATTCAATTCTGGCATTTCATTGGTTGGGCGAATTGTGCTCCATGGAATGCTGGGAAGTGACATTGGACCAATCCCATTGCAGAACGGAGTCGAGGCCATGCGTGCCGCGGTAGCAAAGCTTCCAGAGACGATGCTCTGATCGTGAGTGAAATCCGCCAGGGACACCTCGCTGGTTTTATCCTGTGGCTGCAAAGGCTGATAATTCTTGCGTGGTGCATTTTCATCGCATTCCAAGTTTTCCATCAGCTCGTCTTGCTCATCGTCAGCATCAACTGGACAGATTGGAATTCCCACGGACGGCTGAAGGATGCCGGCCAAGGGTCGGTGGGTTGGTTCTTGATGGATACCTGTTGGTGGCCTGTCATTGAAATAGAACAATAAGATAACCTAAGGCAATTGCTTCTAACATAAAACAAGATACAAGTAGTATCAGCATAAATTGTGGCTTTTCGCCCGAATAAAGAGTCGTTAAAAAGAGCTACGTCACGGTTTGCGCATCTCGAAAACTTTAGCCTAGATTTTACAAGTTCGTTGTTAAAATCCGCGTTAATCTCCTCCATCCTTAACCATCTTTGTTCCTTTATGGTTTATTACTATCTCTTTGGTGTTTTTCCATCTAAGTAAACTACTATTTTCAGGTTTCCTTCAATTTAAAGGTAATTTTGTACATGGCCAAAATAACTCAAAGTACCGTGACTGAAATCCGTAACTACTTTCTTCTTCTGCAAGACAGATACATGTATCTGAGATTCGACCTGATAGATTCCACAGTCATACGTTTAATTACACATCTACACCAGGATCCGTGTAGAGTGTGTTTGATTCTTCTTTACTTACACATGGAAATTAACAAAAATGACCTCCTGAGCCATGGAATCAGCATGGAAACTTGTTAGGTCGAATCTCAAACAACTCTAGTCGAGCGGGTTAGTACTGTCGAGACAAATCATTTTCAGAATTACAGAGTGAGAGAGGTAGAGCAACAGATGTAAATTGTCCAAACATACATGTTTTCTTTATCTTCGGGTCCGTTCTCTGAATTCTCTACTTCGTCGCCTCTCTTATCAGCAGCAGTCTCATCGTAAATAGCAAACCCAGCACTGCTTCCGAGGCCACCTTCAGTGAAAGACGTAGAATGAAGGCATTGTTTTTATTTATGATATGACACAAATTTAGTTGAGTATTATCTTCTGTGACATGTATGTATTACTATACTTGTATACTTACTATACCAAATATATTTAGTGACAAATGCAGATTTATCACCAATAAATTGTGAATAAGTGTAATTCAGGTTAAGCCAGCAGGTTCACACCCTCTGCTTGGGGTAGTCAGATGGTTTTGCAAGGGTTTCTGGACCTTCAAGTTTTAAAGGTCAGGTCATATCTTTTGTGTTGCATCACATTTATGTTACAACCATTTGTCCCCAACTCATCTCTCCCCTTATTGTGTAGTTCCAGAAAATATCCATACCTCCCCCACAGAAGGGAATTTTTCTAACACCTGCCCACCCCTCTGGAAATTCCGATTGAGCTTCATACATTTTCTTTAAATTTTTTGGTCTTACAGAACCCCCCCACCCCTCAGGAAATTCCAATCCCTTCTGTGGGGGGAGTATGTTCAGTTCTGGAACTGAACATTATGGGTAAGAATAAATTAAAAGTAAAAATTTTCTCCATTGAATAAAAAGATTCCAGCAGTGTGATGGCACCTGGTGGTTGCCGTTGTTATGGTTATCCCCCATAGATGTACATGTATCATTGCTTTTTCCCAGTTATCAATAATTATGAGTAACATTGAGACAATTTGGATTTGAAATTTTGAACCTACCCATTCCACCAAAACCGGTTGAAAATGGGTTGACAGTGGTGCAGTCATCATTGCTGAAAGCTGCTTCAAAGTCTTTGTCCATCTGATCCATTGGCTGCTGAGCAACGCCCAAAGTCAAGTCACGTTCTGAGTCAAGAGGCCCACTAAACATGTCCCCCACTACCATTAAAGCCTGTTTTGTGAACAATGTTGGCGATGGACCTGTCAGATTGGAATTGTTAAAATCCCCAGACCTGTTGGCATCTGGAGTTCTAAGTGCCATTTTAAATTTGTCAGTAGTCACTGGATTGCCGTTGTTTGGCGTATGTGTGAACACTGAATCATTGAATTGAGTGGCCCCCGCATGTAAAATTACAGGAGTTTTTACTTCATTGACAGGTTTACAAGACACATTTTCCACATCATTGCAACTGGAGAGGTCAAGAAGCCTGCTTCCTTGTGGAGGGCGTAAATTGTTTGTAGTTAACTGATCTTGATGTTGTCTGACTTTGACAGGTTGGAATGCTGATTTTTGGTATCCACACTGCAAAGTACTTGGCAGCATGGCATGAACTGACTCAGGGCAGCTTGTAAATGTGTTTAAATTCTCTGCAGAGGGATATGAAGCATTGTGTGGATCTGCAAAGGCAAGACCACGTCTAGCAACAGGTTCAGCACCCACACTGTGGAAGAAATGAGCAGACTTAAATTTCACTAATTTTGATTGCCATTGTGTCCACCCACAAGAGTTTAATAACCTTTTTTCAGAAGTTTGGCTACACAAAGTTGGGGAGCTGTGACAAAATGACAAAGAAAAAACAAATGAAAAACAACAAGAACAACATCAAAAAACAAACAAGAAAACAAATAAGGGGTAATACCAATTGACTAATACATGTACCTGGAACAGGGGGTGAGGGGCAGGCAACAGGACAGGACACATACAGACAACAAGATACTGACTGAAATGCGTTTGTTTAGAGGTATGTACAGCAATGTACCATCACTAGCAAAAATGTTTTGGTAAAAGCAAAAGATGTCTGTCAAACTCACTTGTTAGCCTGCTAAATATGTACATCACTGGCCAGACCTGCGAAGAAAACCTAATAATGTACCTGTGACTTGGCGGCATAGAACGAAGATATCCATCGGTAGTTGCGGCACCTGATGTCTTAACTACACTCTTTTGGCAACTTCCAATCTCCATGGCGCAGGGCTCATTACCACGACATAAGCTCTGATCTCCTGCCATCTGCTGTGCACTGGAAGGCACACTTCCAGATAGCACCTTTTGGGCCCCTTGCTGTACATGTAGATTTGTTGAAGTCCCCTGTGTCTTCAAACGAGCAAAATATCTTCTGGCGAGAATTTCTTCGTACTGAAACTCACCCTCAAGTAAGGAGTAAACCTCCCTTTTTGGGTACATGTATCTAACATTTTCTGGTTGCTTATCAATAACTGGTGGTGTGTATGTCCCATCCCTTATCTTGGAAAATATCCGAGCAGCATGAAGCTCTTCAAAGGAAAATTCCTGTGTTCCTGCATAAATCTTTTCCTTGCAATACATAACTCTGCTCTTCTGGCCCTCTGCATTTTCTGGCTATAAGTGAACAGATGAGCCAAGGTAAGTGCTTTTTGAAGTGTTTCTACTCAATAAATTTCTTTTGAATCAGATACTAGTATGATCCATGCATTACAAGAGAACAGTCCTTAGGCGTACATGACATAGTCAATGATCAAGGGTTTGTCAAACTTGGAAGTTTTCCGATGTGAGATAATCAACACAGAGCAAAAAGATGGATTGACTTCTTTTCTTATGTTGAATGTTTTAGAAGCAAAGATCTTTCAATATGATTGTCTAGAATATAATGTGAGACAAAATAACTGGATTGATCGTCAACACAGAGAAATGTAGTTGCCATTATGGTGACTAAACCAGAATTTTTGCTGAATTTTGGTCGCCAAGGATGAAATGTTAGTTACATTGGTGACCGTATTGGTCACAATTTCGAACCCTGGGATGGCTTCTAAAATACTATGCCTGGTTAAGCCTGTTGTCTTGTAAAAGAAAAGGGCCAAATTGGCCCCTTCTTCAATTTTCTGGGGGCCATCTCTGATTGCAACGTGGTATTCCCGCAATGGCGCGCTCTGGCGGAAACACTGATTGTTTATAATAAATTGTTGCTTTTACCTCCAATGAATATAAAAATGTAATGTACACATGTACAGCAAATTTACCTTATTTCTAAGAGCATCCATCACTGAAGGTTTGTCTGGTTTCCTAGAGCTCAACACTTTGTCAAACTGCGAAACAAGCTGAGGAGTGGGGGGAGGGTGGTTGGTAATGTCATCGTCCACATGGACAAAGAAAGCAGGCTTGTGTGGAATGTCATTAGTAGGTACAGATGGTTGATGTCTTTGAGAAACCTAAAATGAAATTATAGAATGACATGTGTCACTTAATAATGACCAGTGGCTAAATAGAAATCAGCAGTCATTGATAAAAATAATTATGTGCACTTGGTTTCACATCTGTACCTCTGCGCAAGAAGCATCCCAGATATCAGTGGCAAAATATTATACAAGTTGACAGTCAGAGGGAATGTGCATGTAATTAATAAATGTACTATATACATGTACATGTACAGTAGGTTGTAGCTCTTCAAAGACCTGTGTAGTGTCACTCCAGCTATGTCAGAACATATTACATTTTTCAGCTTGAATTTTACACATATCTTGATTTAGCCTGATCAAGGCTATTGGGTAGTTTGGGATGAGCAAAATGGTGGGTGAGTGATGTACATGTAGATGCTTTTTGTTCATCCCACTAACTCATCCCACTAACTCATCCCACTAACTCATCCCACTAACTCATCCCACTGAAGGCCAAAAAAAATGTTAATAAACACTAAGCACAAATTGTTTGTACACTGTAATGTACATAATGCATGTAAGTATGTAACACCACTGTACAATGTACATGTATGTAGATGAATACAAAGTAAACTACAGTGTACATGTATGTATTTTGTTGGCTCTACCTTTGCATCAGTCCATTTCCCTGGCTTCTGAGTGTTTTCCCTTTTTATCACTGGTTCAGTGGGTGGCATTTGCCACTCCCCTGTAGATGGGGGTAACGAGCTTTGTATACCAGGATCTTCATCACAGAATATCTTGAAGCCATTACTGGCTGAGTTTGAAGTTGGCATGGCAACACCAATCCCACCTTTTTTAGCTGAAAAAAAAAAAAGGTGGCGAGACAATTACAAATTACTTCTGCAATCAATAATTAAATATATTTAAAAGAGCCTGCACTATTCAATAAAGATAACCTCTGTGCCTACATGTGCAGGTTCATACAAGTTGTTAGTAGCTAAACAAGCCAGAGAATAGAATGAAAATGTTCCACCTTCACCACCTCAAAAAAGGTCTGACTGCAAGTGTTGGTTCATACACTGTTAGTAGTTTTTATTGGGAAAAACTGCTTTTATTATTGAAAAAAAAAGCATGTACACAAGCCACAGAATAAATGATTATTTAATGTTCTGCCTTCTTCACCTAAGTCTGATTATGCAGGCTACTGTACCTGACTATTGTGTATGTAGGCTATACTGTACCTTACCATAAGTGTTATTTTTGTGATTGTGCAGTTCCAGAAAACATCCATACTCCCTCCACAGAAGGGATTGGAATTGGGGGTGGGGGTTCTCTAAGACCAAAACATTTAAAGAAATGTATCAAGCTTAATTGAAATGTGCCTTTCGTGGGGGAGGTAATTAAGATATTTTCTGGAACTACACATTATAATTAATGTTTACTACACTATAAGGCTAAAGAATTATTAACAGGAATGTCAATAATTAAGGGTCGTAACCTGTAACGCATGTTACAGCAGAGCAGGGTTTTAGCCAGATGGGTGTCCAGGCTGTGGATGGCCACTTTCTAAAGAAAATTGTTTTATCTTTCATAATTATGTTGCCTATTTTTATAAATTGCTCATTTGAGCAGGCCCTATAGCATACTTTGGACGGCTTGCAGCAGAGTATGCTTGATCACCCTTGATGCCACTGATCAACTTGCCTGTTGTCGATACAGTTCATAAAGTACACATCATAGTAAGTTTGCTACCGGTAAGAAAATCTACGCTACATGTGAATCAAAACTTAATGACAGCTGTGTATTAACAAAGCACATGTGGGTGCCTTGTGCAATAACTTACAAAGAGTGGCATTTCCAGTTCGCTTAGTCCCAACAGTTCCTTTCTTCCCTTGACGTTTTAAGCCTCCAAGAGTTGTTCTCTGAGGTCCAGACTCCTCTGCTAATGACACTTGTTGAAGTCCGTTTGAAACTTTTTCAGCCAGACGTAACTCAAACGCTCTGCAACATAAAGGTGATGACAATCATATCTCGGTCAACAACAATGTGCAACAATCAAGTTATAAAAGAGTATTTACATTTTGATACATCCCAAATAGGCTCTTTATTATTAGCTATTTTATAATTATTAGCTGAGAGTGAGGTCTTTACTGGAAAATCTCAAACTGAGACCTTGCCTTGTTGACCAGGTGATAGCGAGGTCAATACCGTGAGGCCAACGTTTAAGATTTTTCCATTATGACCAAACTTTGTTTTTGGAGGCCTGTAATCTGCCTCTGGGCGTCACGGGAGAATAGTGCCTTAGAATTAGCCAATCTGAGCTCTAGATAGTCAAACAAGATGGGCAAAATCATCCCCACAGCTGGTCAATTTGCCTGATGCCCAGCCCTTAATGGAGCCCCTGGGTGTGACTGTCATACATGTACATGTATGATATTTGTGTTTTATTTGATTTGATTGAAACATTTCTGTCAGTAGTGCTTGTTCTGCATGGAAGGGTTTGTGCATTAAATGTCATTAAACATGAATGTATTCTTACTTGTGTTGCTTTCGCAATCTGTCCACTGGTTGAGCATTTTTGTTAATCCCCAAGTTAAATACTTCATCAGCTTTGTGATAGTCTTCAAGACTCTCAAGCAGCTTGGCCCATGATTCATAAAACAAAGCCAGACCACTGCATACTTGTTGACTGTGCATGTAGTTGAAAATATCTAAAGGTTCTGTGCAGATGTCAGTCTAAAAAAAAATACAGAAGTTATTATTTTGATATCAGTAAAGCTGAGATAAATACAGATAAAAATATCCAAGGCTTTCCTGTATTCTGATTGGCTGTATTTTCTATGGCACGGTATAAATTTACTCATACATACGAGCTCCAACAATTTTGCGGGATTCAGTTTCTCTTCCTGGAAAATATACATTTATGTCTTACCAACTGGCATCACTGACAAGCCAGCTTTTAGCTGACTCTTTGCATCGCTGTACTTCAACTTTTAGTTTGGTTGGCAATGGGATATATGAAACATAACATTATGTCCATATTTTTACATTGTACATGTATGTCAGTTTTATTTACATGTAGTGTATTTGATCTACAGGTAATTAAAACCTCAGTCAGGGAATTTTTGGCTATATTATTGATAGTAAAATCGATTTTACTCACATAACGAATCCAAACTTTCGCGTATCGTTCATCATCCTTGTATCTTTCCTCATCTTTGAAAGTTGTTATACAACGCTCAAGTAAACTTCCCAGATCTTTTCCTCCTTTAGGAAAGTTTTCACCCGTCCATACAATGTACCTTGATAATATAAATCAAAACAGGGTATCGTCAGGCAGAAATTAATATTCTTACCTTGCATGTTGCACGTGAAGCAAGATATTTGCAAACTACATGGTATCTGTCGCATACCTGTACCAGATATCTAAAGGGTCTTCACCTTCGTAAGTTCTGATCTGCGCTTCAAATTCTCTGAAAAGATGCAAAAATATAACTTAAAATTCATCTGTTCAATTGACCAGCCTTTGGTTTTGAAGATGTATAGGAAACTACTCACCGTTTCTCCTTGTAAATACGCGTTTGATCGACAGAACTTGGAGCAAGAGCGACCGCCAAGTTCGCCATCTTGCGACCTTGTTTCATGGGCTGCACGTTCTCTTTGCTCAACTCCCATTCGTTAGCACCGAAGGAATTGGAACTTGCGTCCATCTGTATAAAATCTGCAACCTTTTAAAAACCGAATCAGCGACGAAAGAGACTAAATTTCAAGTTTTAAAATGGACAAAGAACCGAACATCGGCGATCGGGCGTTGAGTTCAAAATTTCCCGCCGTGTTACCGCTGTGCGTTTTGATCGAAGGCAGGTGACAAGTGTACCGAGAGCATTGTGGGTAGGCAGTGATTCGGATTCAACATGGCGGAAAAACATGCGCTCGATTGCAGTGATAGCAGTTATGCCGAAGGTGGGTACGAAAATGGCAGTTTCAAGCGGCAAAGAGTTGATTCAGGAGCTGCGGAAGGATACGAACAAAGATCTTACCAAGACTCTGGAGGTCGTAGCAATCCGCATTATACGGAACCCTCGCCAGTAGTTCATGTCCGTGGTATTGCGGACGAAGCCCGCGAACAAGATCTGTTGCATGCTCTTTCATCGTTCGGTACCATCAGGTATGTGAGATATGGTTATCAGTATGTTGTTTTTTTCAGGAGACAGTAATGATGTGCAGTTCTTGCCTTTCAAAAAAAAAAATCGAAGCTCCACAGGCAGCGAACTGCTGGCAAATCGAAATATTTATCGCCACCGGCTGCATAGGAAATTGACCTTCTGAAGTTGAATGGTTTCTTTAATTGTAAACTTGTGATAGCTTGAATTTATTCTTCTCTCGCTGATATTATTTATTTTATTTCAGTTGTGTAACGATGATGCCGAAGCTGCGACAAGCGTTGGTGGAATTTGAAGTGAGGGAATAAAACATTAGAGCACTGATATGGATTTTTTTCTTTCCGAACAGGGACTGGTGTAATATTTTCAAATTAGCCATATTCGCTTTCGTGCTCGTCTTAGTAAGGAAGCTACAGTCTTGCTGAATCTGAAAGAGTTGCTGTACATTAAATACAACAGTTGTGGATAACTTGAACTTAAAATCCTCCTTTTTTGTCATGTTTACAACAACTTTTTTGGCTTTGTTCCTGCTAGTACGATCTTTTTTGAAAGCAGATGGCATGACCTTGTGACAAGCATGTTAATATTGTTCATATATTAGTCACGCGTTTTTGATCACATGAAAGGCTCTTAAATTTATCGTGAGTAGGGCAGCTTACATTCTCCGTGTATGCACTGGGATTGTGAAACTCATTCCGTGGTATAAAGCAAATTGCAGGAGACCTCAAGATAATATTTTTTAAATCTTGAAAAATGCTGGGCTTAAAATAAAAATGTGGTGTTGTTTTCAATGAAATGAATGGATTCCCCACACCCTCAACAGAGGGATTTTTATCCCTTATACTGCTAATTTTCTTTGAAATGTCATGCAAACATCAGGCAATACTTAGCTTTTGTCTTGTTTTTCTTATTCCAGGACATTTCATCTGCAAAGTCCCTCATGGGATATACTCAGGTGACACTGCAAAAATTCAATTTATTCCTTGCAGTAATGAAAATGCTGAGATGTTGACGGCAGTAAGGGCAGTATGCTAACATTCGTATGAAGACAGTTGATGTAGGAGAATTGACTAAAATTACTTCAGAAACCCAGCAACTATTGATATTTTGGGGTGAAAATTTTAGTTTCTTGCAAACGAGATATTCACAGCTGGCGAATTGATTGATCAAGTGTCATAGATCTGCAGATACGTGTAAGGAAAGCCTTGGCAATGGTCTACATGTATGCTTACATACTTACTGCCCATCATACCAAAATGACCTTTCTATATACAGTCGTAGCTATATCTAAAGATATATTGCAGTGCTAATATCCACATGAACAGTCTAATATGAACTTTTTTGATACTATGGTTGTGTTAAAAAGGTGGGAATGGCCCATAGGTTACTACATGTATGGCTCAAACTTCCGACAGTTTTTATTGATTTTTTTTTCTTGATAGCAAATGTAAGCGGCAGTGTAGAAAAAAGTTCGTTTTTGCATGTATGTGATACAGAATGTATTTGTAACCATGTAATATAGCAAATTGATAATAATTTTCTGTTATTTATTATTTTTTTTGTTTCTTTTTTCTTGATAGCAAGTGTAAGTGGCAGTGCAGAACCATGTTCAGTGTTATGTGACATGTGTAACCATGTAACATTGAAAGTATTGATTATTAATTTTCTGTTATTTTTACTTTAGAGTGGACAGACCATTGTTTTACGTGGAAGACCTGCGTACTTCAATTACTCGAAAAGCAAGAGTATATCAAAGTAAGTTATATATATGTTCATGCAAAAGACATAAATCACAATAATAAATTGCAATCAGTTGTTCATTTATTCTGTGGTTGTTGTTGTTTTTTTGGTAACAACTTTCAGACCAAAAACATCCCTGTATACATGTAGAAAGCTATAGCGTAACTTGCCACAGTACATGTGTGAAAGTCATGAACCAGTAAGGAATTGGTTCTTGCTTAGTGTGTGTGTATCAAGTTATGGTTGCCACGGAAAGTTTTGGAGAGCACAAGAAAAGCATAAGAGTTGCTGAAGGTGCAGCTGAGACCAACTCGGAGATTTTTTACCTTGATGCCTGAATAGAAATTAGGTAGACTGAACCAGCATGCATGCTTTGTTATAATATAAAATAATATCATTTCTTATCTTCATTATAAAATTGCAACAGGAACCTCTCCGTACAGCAGGAGCTTCCCGTGAACAGAATTCTTTTGATCACCGTAATAAATCCTCAATATCCAATCACGACAGTAAGTGAAAGTTATGTAGTTATGTAGCATTTTTCTGCTGTCTGTCAATCAAACTTCACCGTCCCTTTTTTCTGTTTTTGTTCAAAGTGCATCATGCAATGGAAGTGTGCACTTGGTTAAAAGATGAATAGCGTTGTACAGTACATGTGCATGTGTGTCCAATGGTTACGTTTACTCCTACCACCAAGAAATTGTAATTGTGAACAGATTGGACCACAGTTTAATAATTTGAAAATGTTTTAATTCTCTACTTGTGAGAAGCTTTGCTGAACTGAATTTTGTTTTCAATCAATTTTAAAAGTCAACGCAGGATATGAAGGTTTTTTTTCACATGCTTATTACTCAAGAATGTTTAACGTACAAGCTTCATACTATGTGAATTAATTACTTGTTTTATTATGCTTGCTGTAAAAAAAATATATTCTTTGACATTTTTGTTTGCAGGACATTCTTCACACTATCTTCAGTAAACAAGGTCATGTCTTAAGGATTGTCATCTTCAGAAAAAGTGGATTACAGGCAATGGTTGAGTATCCTTTTGCTCTTGTGCAATGTATTCACAAAGCAGGAAGAGAAGTCGTGAGCTTCCCAGTGTAACAGGATCATAATTGAGATCAGGGTTGTTCTGTATCTGCAGGGAAGTGGCCAAGAAAAACTGAAGGTCTCTCATTAGCAAACCCAGCCAGCTTTTGTGGCCTCCATTAGGTATTAAAGATTTTCCTGCATAGAGATGGTCAAATTGGGAGAGCAGAATTACTGTTCTCAGAGTTAGCCAATTTGTGCAATACCTGGCCTTTAATAAAACCCCTGCTTTCAATCCTTTGAAAGCAAGACATGCATAAGAAGTTTGACTGTGTGATTTTATATTTATCTGAACAGCACATTAATAGTAATGTAAAAAATAATGTTCATTTTCTAATAATGCACTTGCCAAAAAATAAAAAAAATAAAAAAAAAATAAAAACTACTCAATTCCAGTTGGCTAAGAGTGGTGCAATTCAAGTGTACACCCATGCAAATTATAACGAATATATCTGAAGTTAGTACTAAGACACTTAAAGATTACCGATCTTGTCATTCAAGGTATTTTGAAGATGGTCAAAGTTTACCCGAAGATTTCTGAACTAAGGTATAATGTTTTTTGAGCAGTTCCAAAGATCACCTAAACCCTTTCAAGGAATAGCAAATATCACCCACTGAGTCGCCAACTTTCTTTTCTAGATGGAGATTTGTGTGATTACCTGTACTAATTGCATGATCACCAGTTGTTAAAACACATTTTACCTTGACCACTGCTGTACTGTTCAACAGATTTGCGTCTGTGGACCAAGCACAACAAGCCAAAGATGCCTTGAATGGAGCTGATATTTACACTGGCTGTAACACACTGAAAATAGAATACTCAAGGGTATTGTAATAAACTTCATGCAGTTTAATGCTTCTCTTTCTTCATTTCTGAGTCCTGGTAAATTTCAAATTCAGGGAAATTGTGATGATTCTATCAAACAATATTTGCCTCTGACAATATTAAGATCATGACAGTGTTTTGTGGTTAGTAACATGATTTTAACCTTTAGTTACCAGTCTCCTCAGTAGCTGCAGACATTTCTGATGTTATTGCTTCATATTTTTCCATATTGGTTTTAATATTAATGGGGGAAATTTATCAAACACTTAGTTAAACAGTATTTGACCACATTTTCAAACACTTCAAAGTTCTTCAAAAATTCAACAATTTGTACTGTAGCAAAACACAAGATGTTACATGTAATACTTTTATTTACAGGCCACCTCACTTAATGTTTACAAGAATGATGAAGAAACATTTGATTATACAGAAGACAAGGCATATGGTAAATATATTAGTTCACTCTGCTGTAATCTCTCATTTATAAGATTTAATACATTTAAGTTTGAAATTGGCATTGACTGCATTGGGACTCACCAATACACTTGGGTGGTCTCCCTTTTAAAAATTGTTTTAAATTTATGAATTTATTTTTGAATTTACTGTTTAAAAAAGAGAGTGTCAAAAAACTGGTTGACAGATGGCACTTATATATTTATACATGTATTTAATGTAAATGAATTGCATGGAAGATAACTGACTGAAATGAGCCACTCTTTATAAGAACAAATTATTCAAAATCTAGTCTGTGATGAAACATTGTCTCAAGTGTCAAAAATACAGTGCACGACAAGTACTACATTTACGTTCTCAAAAAATCCTTTAAATCAAAAAACCAAAGCCACAAAAGTGTTTGCTGAAGGAAACCAAAGCATTAAAATCAATTGCATGCACATGTTGTCAGTCTTTTGACTCACTGAGAGCATTTGAATGTCTCTTGAACTGTATAGTTGTATTTGACACAATTTTGTGAATGTCCAGTGCTGTGTTTACAGTGTACAGTACAGTACATGCATGTTAAGAATATTACTTTGATCTGTTATCAAGAGCTACATGTATTGCTGTGTCTCATTCCAAATACAATGTAATGGTGGGCAACTTCTTTCGTATAATTACCTTAAGTTATGACCAAATTTTAAGCAAAGAAAAAAAAAAAAGAGGACTAAAATGTGAATGTATTTATCGTTACCAGTATGTCTTTTTATAACATTTATTTGTAAATACATTGTACTCTTTTTTATAAGAAAAATACTAATTCTCTTGATTTCCAAGCTTACAACAAGCCCCACTGCGCTTTAAATCAGTCAATTTTTCCATACATGCCAGTCTTAGTTCTAGTTTGATGCAGAGTAGAGGGCTGATGAAAAGCCAGCAGGGTTTAAGTAAGTCCTTAAAGGTACTGCATTTAGGTTTTCTGTATTCCAGTGTTTTTTTTCTTCGCACATACCAAATTATTCAAGGCCTTTGATTTGTATAGCCATTTCATTGTTAAGATACAGCATGCATTTTAGAATTATTGTTTTTCTCCCACCTTGCACATCAAAATGGCAAGGAAAAATAAGAGATTCATACAGCTGCAATGTTATTTTTGCCACATAATTCTAAAAAAAAAAAAATAAAATTCCATTATTCATTATCAGTGAATTAAAAAAAAAAAACCATCAGAATTTTAATCCAGTTGGTGTTACAGTCATGTAGTTGTAAAGGTTACACAGCTTTTAAGGCCACAATATGAAACTCAGTATGTGAAAGCCTGCATTTCAATCTAAGGATGCACACTTTGAACTTTGCTTCGCCAACAAATTTTTTCGCTCAAGTGGTTGTCATCATACGTATACATGTACATTCACTCCCGACCACTGGCAATTTCTAAAACAATTGATTCATGCTTTTAGTTTTACATAATCAAATTTTGATGTACTTGGGAAGATGGGAGAACACTCAGGAATCTAAAGTTGCTTTCAGCTGTGCCTGTCTGCATACAGTAGGAGGCTATGCCTCGAGCAACTGTTGCACTTCTTTGGTGCTCTCCAAACTCCTCACATTCACCATGATGTAGTGGTGCGGGCTGAAGCATGAACCAATTGTGAAATGTTTGTCACTGTTTATAATGGCTTTGAACTGAAGATAATTTTCCACATTCTCTATTTATGGCACCAGGTTTGCTACCCATTACCAGATGGTAGCGTTAGAGGTCTGTGTACATGTACAACAGAAAATTTTCAGATATTGAAATCAGCATTTTAGCTTCTTTATACATTTTGGAACATGTTCGATTCAACATAAGCATGCTTATTAAACTTTGTGATCTTAGTCATGCCAGCATGATAACAATGTATCAATTACCAAAAAAAACACCAAAGCAAACAAAAGCAAAACAAAAAAAGTGATAAACCACTTTAAGGTTTTTGTTCCTGTGTTTTCTCCAAAGTAAGTACTAAGCAACACCATGAGTACAGTCATCTGTTAACACAACAGTGGTAAAACTGATCTGGTTGCACTGTGATGCACAATAAATTTAATGTATACACATACAGTATTGTGAAAAGAAGTGCAAATAAGTGCTGTTGAGTTTTGCTCTTTGTTTTGACAACATTTCATGGAATTTTACCTGAAATTTCTGTGTCTGATGTTTATTGAAACAAAAATTTTGGAATAGTGAAAATTTGCAATGAATATCTCACACACTGAATGCCATTTGTCTGGCACACGACAATGCAACAGCACTTTATTGACATGTCTATCAACATCACAACCATAACAGAATTGGAGTCAACAACAGGAAAAAACTACCCAAACGTTAATATACTTCTATTAAATTTAGCTGAGAATTCGTTAAGGGGTGGGAGGGTAGGAAAACTGTTGCACTGTCCGGCAAGAAAGAAAAACTGAATCACGTGACCAAGCGTGAAACTGACTTCCTGACTCGTACCCAAGTCCCCCATTCAGTGTGAGAGAACTTCGTTTCCTGCCTCTTTCACAAGATCAGCCGGCAGGAAAAACATTTTACGAAGCCAAGTAAAACAATTTTGTACCAGTAGAAACTACAGTGTACATTGTAAAGACTTCAGAGTTTTGAAAAAAAGTTATCGTTCAAAATGAAATTTTCTTCATTTCCATCGAAAAACCCTTAAATTTCAATGAATACCATTTGCACTGCTTTACACAATATATATATATTTTTTACTGTACTAGTAATATTAGCTATTGACAATGTTTATCTCCTTGTTATCTCTAACCTGGTTATCATACCTTTTTGTATCTCACACTGAAACCCATTTCTGTTTTTTCTGTGAAGTAATTGTTCAGTGACTTCAAAAACGACCATTTATTTTTCCTTCAGTTACTTGAGGTGACTGGATTATGGTATCATTTCTTGTGGGTGCTCCTACTTCTTGAAAAGTGTTTAATATCACTGTTTCCTCATGTAATTTGCCTGTTGCTTTCTAGGTGTTGCTCCGCCAAGGCCACCAATGAAAGAAGGTCTCCTCAGTCGCCCTCCAGGGGGACCATATCCTGGTCGAGGAGGGATGGCAATGCATGCTCCCCGGCCCTTACTTCAGCCATCACCCATGGCGGGAGGTTGTGTTCTCATGGTGTATGGACTGCATGAGCACAAGATGAATTGTGATCGAGTCTTCAATATTCTTTGCTGCTATGGGAATGTTCTGAAGGTGTGAAAACTGCCTGAAATATTTAAGGTTCACATATTTACAATGTAATAGGCCATGTTCGTATACTCGTTATTGGACTAGAACTACAGCCTTGGTCACAAGGGTTTGAAAAATTCATTCCATACACATTTTGCCCCTCCCCACCCCTGTGCAATGTTGACAAAACACTTTCATCTAACACAATTTTCATTCTACCATTTTCCAACATTGTATAAAAATAAATAGTGTAAGGGGAATGGGGGTGCTGCTTCTTATTCTGTAGGGTAAATGATTTCATGTTTTTGCCTATTTTCCAACACAATTCATCTAAAGTTGTAGCTTGCCATGGAGGCCCATGCTGGAGAATAATCATTAAAATGAGATAAATGTCATTTGCATTTTAAATGAATCCCAGCATTGGCCTCAGTTGCAAGCTACAGTCCAATATCGAGAATGCCAAAATGGTCCATTGTCGTACTGTGACCAATGGTAAATGAACAGCTGATGTGTATGTGCATGAGATAAGGAAAACAAACACCAACTTATGATTTGGAAGAAAACTGTTTTTAGCTAAGGTTCCCTTTAAACTCCCTATTACTATGTCTTGGTGAACCAACAGCTGGTATGAATAGTGAAATTCACCTGTAATAGTATCATCTTGATGGCTTACTCAATTCTCAGAACTGGTGTCCAAAGGAATCATAAGGCATTTGTTAAGGAGAATTTATCTTTCAGGTGAAGTTCCTGATGAACAAGCGTGGTGCTGCCATGGTAGAGATGGGTGATCACATTGCTTGTAACACAGTTATTCAGTGTCTGGGAGGACAGCAGCTCTTTGGCAGCCAGATTGACTTCAGGTTAGTTTTGTTTGGCCTGTGCATTGCTGATTTTCATTTCTCTTCAACAGGTTCACAAAGAGTACACAAACAAAAAAACTGTGAGTTAAACTACTACCGATGATTGAGACACAACAGTGCATGTAGTTGAGAAGACAGGAAGTGAGCTACATTGTACAGTTGGTTCTTATTAACAATTTTTGTTGTGATTTTTCTTTCTTCTTACAGTTGTTTGCAGCAAGTATTATATTATCCATATTATCCCTATCTGTGAGTTGGTATTTCAGGTTGGCAAATTAGATTAATACCAAAATTACTTTACCATGTATTGTTGATTATTATTTGCAGTTTTTCTAAGCAGAAGTATCTTGTGGATTCCTCATCTGTCATGAATTTGCCAGATGGGACACCGTGTTACAAGACATACTCTAATTCCAAGAATCAGCGCTTCTGGACACCAGAACAAAGCAGCAAGAATCGTATCCTTTACGTAAGGTTTTGAAAACTTCATCCATTTCTCGCCATCTATACTATACAAGCAGAAGGTGGCAACAGTATTATTGGTCTCAAAATGCATATGTAGCCAAGGTTTTGCTGAGAGAGAAATTGTGCATACAGCGGGAACCACAGCAACTGCTCCTGTGGCAGCTTTAAGGTGGCTCCATGGGGTAATCATTTATGGCGTCGCGCGCGCAAGTGTTATGTTTTGAATGCTGTTTTGGCATTCGCTTTCACACCCAGTCCTTTCAAACTTATTACATGTAATAACGAATGATTAAATAGTGTTTTGCTATCATCTCTGTTAAAATTTTGGGCTTTAGTCTTGAATTATAAATGCCCAAACAAATGTGTTTATTACTGTTTATGTGGCTTTATTTGTGATTTTCTTGAATTTTCTTTGGTGAAATCTTCTAAAATTTTTACAACACATCGCTTCTAGCGGGATACGAATTTTAAACACGAAAAAAGTAGGGTTTGTAGAGGCAGTTTTGTCGATTTTTTCAAATTTATGTCTTTTACCGCTGCAAAAAATCTGGTCTTGTAGATTTCCCTGAAAAACGCGCTCCGACTAAAGTAAAATATTTACTACCAATCTGCCAAATTTTACGGAATTTCACCGAAGGAAACGCGAGAAAATTTACTGTCAGTTTTGCTTTTTGTGCTCATGTTGACGTCAGAAAATATCCAAAAACACTGACGTTTTCCTTCGAGCGCGCGCAGATTACTTGAGCTTTCATCCTTAGCACGCGTGCGATCGTAAAACTATAGGGAGCCACCTTAAGTATGATTATATAGATGGCGCTTAAAAACAAAAAAACAAACAAACAAACAATTGAACAATTAAAACAAAAACAAAAACATAAACGTAACAAGTTGGGGGAAAAGATCAAGATACATAAAGTATTTTAGCTAATCTAGGTGAAAAGCCAGATGTGATATGAAGTCAGGGAAACAGTTTTCAAAGACTGCCATTGCTTATAATTGACGTAGTTGAACTGAAGCAAGTTTGTAACAGGAACACAGATATCATTTGACAGGCAAATAACTTGGAGTTAATGTTTTTGTTTGTATTATGACATTTTGGCATGTGGACGTCCGTTCCATAGGAATATGAACAGCTGTCGGGAAAAATAAATTCTAGGGTATTAACTGAATTCACTGAGCTAAATCTCTACTCGTCTGCCTGGTACCTATGAAACTGGCAATGCTAAGAGGAAAGTTGTGCCGTCTTGAATTTGAATCAGTCTTTCAAGTTTGATTCTGTTCTTTTATTTTTGTTTTTGTTTTTTCTTTTCTTCAATGACAATATCGCACTCAACTTGAAGTGTATTGCGACATGTACATGTTCAAGTAATTTAAAAAATGTTTTTATATAACTTAACTTTGTACTAGGCATTTTTTCTCCTACAAAAGTCTTGCATTTCTTTAATGCTCCGCCGGACTTTTCTACAGAAAAAGTCAACGAGGTAAGTTTCTTTTGTCCAGAGTACTTCCCACTCGTCAACCTAGTGATGTGGTGTACACTAATATAGTGTTTTCTCCCACTTTCCTCCTGTTGTTCAGTGGTAGAGCCTCCCTTTAGCTGGCTGTCACTCCTCAGGAAACTACTGTTTCATAACATTTTAAGCCAGGAAACTACCATGTTCTGCATAGCAAAGCAGTTGCGAAATTGTCACTGTGGAGAAGTTAAATTTGTTTTAATTGAACTTTCAATCTATTCTTCATTGTAGATGTGTTCAAATTGTGCAGTCGAACGTCCGGTTGCTGTCAAAGTGTTTCCTAATGGTGAGTAAATTCATAATCCTCTCGCCCCTTCTTTTTGACTCTCCGCTCAGAAAAGCCGCTTTTCTCAAGTATTAATAGAGCATTTCAACAAGCAGTTGGTGGGTGTGGAGGGATAGGTACATATAGAGAACTGGAACAAGAGGGATTAGGGGAATCTTTGCAGATTGTCACGTAAGCTTGTTGTCACGACGTTTCATGTTGCTTTTGTTGCATAGCAACATTCACGCCGTACACCGCAGGCTCATTTTCGAAGACCAACCAAAACATCTTCTTGGTTTCACGACATGAAGTACGCATTTTCAGCGTAAATCCTTCCTCGGAAGTGACCTCAGGTCACCCATTGCTCACAGCACATTTGGGATTCGTAAGAATACCACGGATAACGAGGTGTTTTTGTTTTACGTCAACGAAAAGCCAGAAACTTCTTGAGAATATGGGGTCTTTGAAAGAACGAATGTTGTGGAAACAAGGAAAAATCTATCATACAGATACATGTACTCTGGCTTGATCTTGTTCGACGTGCTAGGATCGAGGGAAAGGGTCAAGATGGGGCATTTGAATTAAGAACCGTAAAAATTGAATAACAGCTGTAAAATGAAAAGAAATCTTGACTTTTTTGATGATCATTTTTGTTCATTGTCATTATTGTTTTTGTTTTTTTTTAATTAGTTTATTATTATCTTTTTTAACATTGCAGCTACTCGTTCAGCAGCAGGTCTTATGGAATGGGAAAATCCGTCCCAGGCCCTTGAGGTTCTGGCAGCGTGTAATCATTACGTCATACGTGATGCTGGTACGGTGAATTCATTACCAGTTTCAAATCTGAAGCTCTGGTCATGACCAGTCTCATATGCGGCCAGCTTACCCCCGGGAAACTCTTGTTATATTCACAGTAACTCCCTAGTGTAACACAATGTAAGAGACTGCGAAAACGTTTGGAATTTACAAGCTGGCGTTTTTCTTTGCTTAAATTCTTGTAACCGATCATCACTTGCAGACAATTAATAATTCCGCTCTGTATAAAAAAATTACACGAATCACTCCCACTAAAATCTGAATGTATAGATAACTATTTTTATATCCTTTATGGGACTAGAACTATATGCTGCTGTATGATAACACTGTATTGGCATGCTGAAAGTTCTTGTTTGCTACTTAAACTTTTCTGTTCAGTTCAGCGATTTCGTTTTCGTAAGCGGCTAGCTCCGGTTTTGACCACTGGTGTTGGGGGCACTTACAGGAACTTCGGCTGTAGGTTATAGCTAGACGGGCTTTGCTTGATTTTGGACTAGAAATCGCTGCAACGCTTGCTGTGAGAAAATCTTGGACACCCTCATGTGTTTCCTTCTAGATTACGTCTGAGAATTTTCTTGTATATATGATGATATTTTTAAAATTCTCCTGGCCTTTTCTGCATCACAATGTCCGGATGTCTTATGAAATTTTTAATGTTAATCTCTTGTCTTTCGTTTCAGCTGCCAAGACAATCTTCACAGTTAAACTCGCCTTTTCGTCCATGTCAAGCGCACAATAACAAGGGGCCTGTTGCCAACTCTACTCACATTACCCCTGGCATTTTTCGTCGACGTTGACTACCCTGTCAGGGGTAGGGAAAGGATTTAATCGACACCGAAACTCGGACATGGGACGGCAGAAAGAACTTTGCAAGCGACAACTTCAAGTCGCGATTTATTTTTAAGTTAAAATGACTTGGAGAGAAGTATTAGGAAAAAGTTATAAACAAACCACAAGAGTTTCTTCGAGTTAACGTTTTGTTACTTTATTACTTTATTTTAACAGCATTTTACTTGAAACTTTCTTTTGCATTTCATCAAGTGCTTAAAGATAATTATATTTTAGCGTTGAATTCCGTGATAACATTTCGTCCAGTTAGACGTAGATGTGGAAAATTTTATGGTATGAGAGAATTAACTTTACAGTTATGTATTTACCAAACTGACACTTACTGAGATTATTAAAATACCCAATATTACAGAAAGTGCTTGTGGTGAAAGTGGAATTCTTGTTTCTGTGAACTTTCATGGATTGTCCGTCAATCAGGAATAGAAGTTGTGGTAAATGCCTTCAGCTTTTCAGAGTGAGTTTTTGAGGGGTTGGTGAATACCAATCATTAGGAAACCCAGAAAAGAAATGGGCAAAACGCGTTCCACAGATTGTGCAACGTGCATGAAGTGCAACACGAGAGTTCAACTCAATCGGGGTTAAAGTCATGCTCAATACTGGGATTAAAGCAATGAATTCGATTATTTAAACGAAGTTCATGTTAAGTCGCGTTACTTACAATATGAAATTCTCTTGCTGATGCGAGAAAAGTTGGGGTTCAAAATATACATATTTCATTATCCACATAAGCAGTAACCAGGGCAAAACTTACTTTTAACCAAGCCTTATTTACAACACTTAGTTTTACCTTTGTTCTGGAAACATTATGCAGACTCGTGGTTTCGATGTCCTAACAATTTTATACAGATAAGAAGGCTTTCTATTACTGTAAATGTTTGGCGAGCTTTGGATTTTGATAATTTGCTCAAACTGTTCGTCAAATTGAAATATGCGCCACGAAATTCTCGAGCAAAAACCTGGAAAGAGGCGGCATTTCCAGAAGCAAAGGGTATTCTCCAAGTCAATAGGCCTTTTTTGTTTCAAAACTAGTCCTCGTGCAAAACCTTTCAAAAGAAAATGAGGTTCATTAGTTGAAGAAGAGCCCGTTGGGGAAACACATTTTTGCGTGAGGACTCGTTTTGAAACAAAAGCGCAAGGCACTCGGAAATGGCCTACTGATGCTTCCAAAAATGTATTTGTGATTCGAGTTGGTAGGCTATGAAAAGAATTTGAATATGAAAGTCCTTTACCACTCATGCTTAGCTCCAAACCAGTGCTGTGTTGTCGACAAAGGCGAAGAGGTACAGCGGTGATCAGCATTTACAGTACCGTAACTATAATAGCCAAAGTTTCTTTCGTTACTATTAATTGCCCCTGGACTTCCATCGAAATCACAGCCCCATCCCAGTTTACTCTGGTAACTCTTAATGCTCCAAGCTTTCCCAGCTATTTGGTTTGTCCCGGCTGTGCAGTTAGAGCACTCATGTCCCCGGATGTTTATGTACTCATATAGCTGACACATATTACTCCAGGTGTCAAATATGTCGTGACCTTCCAGCTTGGCGCGTGCGTAGTCGGTATACTGCAGACCATCTGTTGGGAAGTTACAGGTAACTCGTAGGTGTGTTGAGTGATTGGCAAGGGATTCCATCTGTGGTAAGGACAGGCGATACGAGTTCCAATCCACTTCATTCTTTGTATGGTTCACTGGAAAATCTTTGCCAAACATTTTTTTTCGGAACATGTCTTTATTAGCCAAGGAAAACGATTGAATCAGAGCCCAAACAAATCCCGATTCTGATTCCATGTCACAGAAGACAGAAAACGCTTCGTTTACAGAATCAAAGATGAGGTACTTTCCAGATGTCGAAGCTCCGTTTTAAGCAATGTCTTTACAGGTTCTTGGATGTTTAATCTTGTCACATCGCCGGCCTGTGTGAGTGTTGGGGCAGGCACAGATAAACTGTGGGTTGTGAGGGTCACAGACCTCCTGGCATACCCCTCCGTTGACACAAGGATTGCCACGACAGCATCTGTTCACGCAGCGATGTATTCCCGGGATGAACTTTCCTCTGCCCTATTGCAAAATAAAAGAAAATAAACGAACCCTGAAGTTAGATCGCAAAGAATTAAGCAAATGAATGAATAAATGAGCGAACGAACGAACGAACGAATGAATGAACAAATCAATAAATTAGTTCACCTTCACTGTGTATCTCCTCGCCAAATCATAATAATGAACTCCTTGTTTTCGTTTCAGTGCTGCAGGCTCTAGTTCCTTATTAGCATCGTTTAGTTCACAGTTATTTTCCTCGGAAACAGGGGAATAATTTATGGTGGCACATAAGCAGTCGTTTTTACAAGTCACGTGACACTGGGCGGTGCTGTAGACTGTTAATCGCGTAAGCACATGACCCTCAAGGACGTGGTTATAAACAACATCTTCGTCGACAACAAACTTGAAGTTTTGGCAAATTACATTGCTGTCTACGGCATTGAGTAGGGTCAGGTGTGAAACCAAAGCCAGCACTCGTAACAAACACAAGGCACTCATAGTCAAGCTCCTATAACAACATAGAACAGTGAGGAAATAAAACGTTGTTGAAAGGTTTAGCGTGACGAGTGAATTCTCTTTTCAGAATTCGAAAGAAACGTCTCCAAGAGGATTTGGAACTCTTTCTTCTGGTCCTTTCGTGAGCTGATTGAAGTGAATGTCATGGATTCGAAATATAGTACGAGGAATTTTAAAACTCTTCATGATATCTCTTGTCTTTCCTAACGAAAATATATGGTTTATTAACAGATACGAGCATTTATGCACGTTAAAATGTTATTTTTGGGGATTATTTTTGACACGAAACAAAATCCGTGCTCACTTTCGAAAGAGTTACTCGTGCATTTGTAAACCCATCTTCTGTAGTTTTAAAGGTCCAAAAACTCTCCTACAGGCAACATGCCTCGCGGGTAAATACATCTAAAATGACAAACCAGGATTCGTTTGGGAGTAACTAGAAGATTCTGACAACTTCGAATATCAAATATAAGTGAACTCACCCACCGATATGCTTAGACAGTTCACAGTTTGTTGTAAGTTTGTTGAAAACCCGTAGAAGCTAGCTTGCTAGCCGGTTTGCAAAACATATCTCGGCTAGAAAATCCTGACGCCGTCATACGTGTCGTATATCACATAATTTACAGATCAGCTCTGCTTTGATTTTAGTATTAATAACAGTTAATTTTTAAACGTGTTTTTGGCGTCCACTTGGCGTTTATTATCAATACATTTTGACTTTAAATTAAAACCGCTTAAAACCGCTTAAATTTCTTAAGAAGTTCTTGCTGCGTTGTTTGCACGTAAGTTTAGTTTAGAATGTAATACAGGAGATTAGCTGTAAAGCAACTAAATTTGAGAATATACTTGAAAAATTAAATAGGCTATAATCGGGGCGGATGTCACTCGATGGTAATTAATGTCGTTATTGTACATTGTAGTCACCATCTGCCTTTTTATTGGCTAAAAGCCTACAGTTAATCCTGGGAAACAGCGCAACCTACAGATTATTTACTAATCTGCTAGCAGATTAGTGAATAATCTGTAGGTTACGCGCGCATGACAAAAACCATATCCAATAATTGTTTATGGTAATGCCGATGTTAAAATCTTATCATTAAATGTGTCCAGTTATTCGCTAGCAAGTAATTAGCCAACCAGTTTACTACCTGTAGAAACATGAATCTGGCCTTAAAAGGTTAATCAGTGGATCTTTTATGTATTGCATAACATAATGTATCCCAGCAAAAAATATTTATTGTTAATCTGAAATGTTTTCACCTCCATTGGGGGTTTCCGCCTCATGGATGTGACTCTTCACTGGAGACTCAAACAACTGGACTTTTCATTGATAGAATTTTGCAGTCTTACTATACTTTGCAAGCTAGTTCTTAATGAACGATGTAACATTTCAGTTAGACAAGTTAAGCAATGCACTGACCCAGTTTTAAACCTAGAAATTAACTGCAAGAGGATCGAATTTCGATGAGTAAAGGACATGTGACAAAAGCCTAAGTACTTTTTAAAGGCAAGATCTATGCTAAAAATATTATTACTGTAATATTTCACGAAAATGACAAAAATTATTCAAAGATTGCAGATTATGTTTCTGTTGACGAAAATTAATTCAACAAGAAATATTTCGACACAGTAAGAGATTAATGAACCTCGCTAAGCAGGCACCAGAAATTCGAAACAGAAAATAACAAAATTAATTATTCAGTACGAGGTAAATGTATATAACGTTATCAGCTGTTATCACTTGATGTCCCTATATAAAACAAGGATTACCGTTGATTAAAATCGCTATTGGGATATTTTTTAACCCGCTGTTTGATTTAGCTTAGATGAGGTTTAGAAACAAAGTACCTTTTATAAGTGTTCTGTTTTGTCAACACACCAAACACCCGTGGATAACCAATTCTACGGAATCCACAATGAGAAGCTTTTTCGGCTTATTGAAACACATAGTTGTCATATTTGCCGAGGAAACTAAAAACTCTTTGTAGCAGTTGAGAATTTTATCGGTGGGGAGAGCCTGCTATGCTACAAACAGAAGTTCTTTAAACTTCAAAGAATTTAGTTTTACCCATGGAGCGCTCTAGATGCTCTTAAACAAGGGCATCTAATTAGCTTGCTATATTTTTGCCCTTTTCCATTTCTCCTCTTACTTGTCTACTTTATATTTATCTTTGTAATTTTAGAATGGAATAAATAAATAAAATGAAAAAAAAAATAGCAACATTTTAGCCTTGTATTTAGTCTGTTCTAGGATTTTTTCTTGGAAATTCGTGTCGTAGCAGCGATGAAAAACTAATACGCACGATTGTCACAGTTTTGTTTTTAGGATGAAAGACCCGCATGAAAACCAGCTTAGACTGATGTGGCTTCCTTTCTAAATACTGTTATTTATTTATTTATTTATTTATTTGAATTGTTTTAATTCTCATTCGTCAAGAGTTATGTTACAATTATTCCACGAGTGCACATTGGATATGAGACAATAGCTGTATGTGTATATTCTAAAATCGATTTATAAATAATCGATTAGTATACACCACACAAGTGAGAGCTTTTTTCGCGATCTGATTGGTTACTCGGAAGTGATAAACAAAGTACTTGTCTTTCTCAACTTTCATTGGTTACGTTCATCGTCATTTATTTTCGTCGTCCCTGTGGTGTGTCTGGATTTTGCTTGACTTTAGCTAGTAGGGAGATGCTGTTTAGTTTCCACGGTCAGTAAATTTTAGACAGATATAGACACCTACCTATGCTGTTTTTCTAGATACCTAAACCCAGATCAGTTTGACTGGTTCTTTCACTGGGTAATGGTTTTCATTATAGCTTTCATCCGAAAGTGAAAATGTTTCGGCATTATCATTATGGTAATTGTGTAAACAATCACGGAGTGTCCATGAATCAAGAAGGGAAGTCTTACCAAATGCTATCAGTTCATGCAAAACTTTCAGAGTGAGTTCGAGAGGGTTTGCTGAATACGAATCATTAGAAAGGCCAAAAAATTAATAAAGGAGAAAAAGAAGGCGATCTACAGTTTTCAACTGGCAACGTGCAACGTGCCTAAAATACAACACGAGAGTTCGCTTAAACCGGGGTTGAGAATGCTACGTTCAATACCGGGAATAAAGCCATGAATCCGGTTGTTTACATGAAGTTCCTCTTCAGCCGCGTCTACTTTAAACGTGAACTTACAGCAACACCAATGTGATAACCTTTGGCTGGTGAGAGATAAGTTAGGGTTCAAAATATGCATATTTCATTATCCACCAACAAGTAACCGGGGCAACTGAAATATTTCTGTAACGAAGTATTCCCGATTTTGACACCCAGCTCGATACAGCTTTGGTCAGCATTAGGCTATGTTTTAAAAACTTAGTATTACCTCAATTCATCAGTACTATCTTTATTCTGGAAACATTATGCACATTCGTGTCTTCGTTGTTCTAACAATTGTATACAGATAAGAAGGCTTCCTAATACCGCAAAGTTTTGCGCAGCGTTGGAGGTGGGGTGAAGAAGATCATTTTCTCTAATTGTTCCAAATATAACCCAGTGGTGAAAAGTACCATGGGATTTCCTCTCTTTCTGCTTTCGAGACTTGACTGTTTTTTTTTTTTTTTTACTATGTTACGTTTATTTGAAATAATTGTTTCCTTTGTTTCAGTGGCATGCCTGCAAGCTTAGTGCTTTTATGGCTAAGTGCATGACCACTATAAATAATTTAAAAATTGAAAATTAAAAAAAATTAAAAATAATTTACCTATGTAAAATTGCTAACAAGGGCGTGTTCTATAATTATCATCCTGGTTCTTGTCTTAAGATTGCAGTTTTAATTTGTACTGACAAAGGAGTCAAAATTCTGTTGACTACATATGCAACCGTGCGTTTTTGACCTTGACCTAATGTTCCATGACCGGTCACATGGAATAAGAATAAGTTCATTAATTACTTTTGTTTCTTGTATCACAAGTGTTTTTGTAAATAAACTGTAATTATCCTTGGATAATTAGTTTCTTTGCAGTCCCTGATAGCTCAAAACAAGTGCTGTGTTGTCGACGGGGGCGAAGAAATACAGCGGTGATCAGCATTTACAGCACCGTCATAATAATAGCCGAAATTTCTCTCGTGGTTAATTCCCCCTGGACTTCCATCGAAATAGGCTAACAAGACCCTGAGTCGTCATAGTTGCCAAAGAAACTAATAATTCTTTGTCGCGGTTGAGGATTTTATTAGTCGGGGCGCCATAAATTTAATATAGAGCTTGCTAAGCTACAAACAGAAGTTCTTTAAACTTCAAAGAAGTTAGTCAGTTTACCCATGGAGCGCACTATTAGCATCTTAACCCTGTATTTTAATATCTTCCCTGCAGTATTTTTAATTATTAAAGATTCATGAAGATAACCAATACGGACAATTGTCACAGTTTTTTGTCTAATATCTAGAATTATTATATGGAGAAGAGTGTTTTACTGGGAACTAAACCACTCGTAGATTCCATACGCCACTTCATCCGGGACCCGAGTGGCGTATTTTCCGTATGTCACCTTTGTGAGTGTCGTATCGTTCAATAACATCACGATTCCCGCCTTTTGCTTTTGTTGAATTGGTTTCTCCATATAATAAAAAGAACATTACACGTTGGCTCGAAGATATGGATTTTATTATATTGTTCTTGCCACGAGAACATAAAATTCATATCTTCTCGCCACCGTGTAATATCCTCGATATATTTAACAATTATTCCTCGAGCGCGCGTTGGATATGAAATGACTGATACCAACGAGGCACGTAACGACCTGTTAGCTGTAAGCATCTGATATCCAACGCGTGCTTTGGAATATCTTTTTTTTTTTTTATTAAAATGGAAAAATTAAATAAAAATAAGAACTTAGGATTTCCTCTATTGCGGCTTTCGTGGCTTCCGTGAGTATTAAGGTGTAAAGGTAATGTCCCTATGCAAACTTTGTAACAAAGACATGTTCCAAGATTACTATCGACTTGATTATTTTTGTTTAATGTGTAGCAATAAAGTGTTCCAGGAATACAGATTCAGTGTAATTACGCTAAAAAGTATAATAAACAAATCGAATTTGGTTTAGCGTGGTCTGTACTCTTATCGACAACGATATGCGTCATCACGGTGGTCAAAATGTTGTGGAGTCACAAGGCGCAACCGAGCGAGTCCACAACAAATTTTTACCACAATATCAAGGTCAAAGAAAATGCTTTTTTTTTACAGCGCGAGCTGAAAAAGGCGTCGCGTGACACATTGACCCGAGCAGCTTTGCCTGGACTCTTATCGACAACGGAAAATTAGCCAATCAGATTGCGAGATTCGTAGCAATTGTGGTAAAACATTTTCTTGACAGTCCTGAGCTAAATTTTTCTGACTGAATTTTGCCGTTAGCAGCGCCCCAATAACTTTGGTCAAGCGCTCAACTAGCTTATGTCATAGCGGAGCTCCGGCGGCCCGAAGGGCCGTTAAGCGGAGTCCCATACCCATAGCGGAAAGAAAAGGAAACCCATGAATTGTTTTCCTCATGGTTATCATGGTTAGCGGTATTGCTCGTGAGCACGTACGTACAAAGACGACGACGACGACGACGGAGTCGCGCAAGATGGCGGCCATACTCCAACTAATATGCTGACAAAGACATGCACCCTCGGTTTGTAGAGTCCCTCTTTGATATTGGAAATCCATGTTATGGTCAATTGACACCTGTCAAAACAAGGTATCCGCTGACCAGTATCATGTGACCATATCGCGGGCTCAAGTTTAGAACTTATCGAGATCACGTGTTTTTTGTAGTTGAACGCTGACCAAGTTCTGGTTTTCGATTGGATCGCGGACTCACGTCAGGTTAACTTGTTGGCCGAGTGTTTCGGTAGCCGGCTAACGCTAACCCAGGATTATAAAAGTGAACCAAAGTATAATTTACTTTGTGTATAAAAGTTTTTCACTGCTTTTGTTTTGTGTATTTTGAGGACCTTGAGATTTTTCAAACTCAAGACAGAAGGCCAAACAACAGAAACGGAAAACTTCACCGTAAAGTTACAAAACTCAAATCAAAATTCTCCCATATCCTGGGTTAGCTTAATCGGGCTTTAAACAACCCGGCCCAGGAGTTCCGCTTTTAGGCTTGGCTAAATCTATATATTATTCTCTTCTACGTATTGGATTGAGACGTGTGGGTTCTAACCTGGCAATGGCCCTGTACTGCGGTTAAGGTTTAGGGCCGTAACGGACGTCCTTTCAATTTTTATAAATGTTATGTCTTTTCTACTCTCAGACGTAGAAATAGGCGACAGAAAATTGTCGGGCACAAACCGAGAAAGTGTTCGAGGCTAAAACTTTGACAAAGCGGCGTCCATTCCTGAAACAAAGACTATTCTCCAAGTCAAGTGATGGTTTCGAAAATAAAGTTATGATTCGACTCGGTGGGCTATGTCACGTAAGTGCGTGGACTTAACTTTGTGCATTTGAATGTAATAGTCCTTTACCACTCATACTTAGTTCCAAACCAGTGTTGTGTAGTCGACGCTGGTGAAGAGGTACAGCGATGATCAGCATTTACAGTACCGTCACCATAATAGCCAAAGTTTCTTTCGTTACTGCTAATTGCCCCTGGACTTCCATCGAAATCACAGCCCCATCCCAGTTTACTCTGGTAACTCTTAATGCTCCAAGCTTTCCCAGCTATTTGGTTTGTCCCGGCTGTGCAGTTAGAGCACTCATGTCCCCGGATGTTTATGTACTCATATAGCTGACACATATTACTCCAGGTGTCAAATATGTCGTGACCTTCCAGCTTGGCGCGTGCGTAGTCGGTATACTGCAGACCATCTGTTGGGAAGTTACAGGTAACTCGTAGGTGTGTTGAGTGATTGGCAAGGGATTCCATCTGTGGTAAGGACAGGCGGTACGAGTTCCAATCCACTTTATTCTTTGTATGGTTCACTGGGAAATCAACGCCAAATATTTTTTTTTTGAACATGCCTTTATTAGCCAAGGAAAACGATTGTATCAAAGCCCAAACAAATCCTGGTTCTGATTCCATGTCACAGAAAACAGAAAACGCTTCGTTTGCAGAATCAAAAATGAGGTACTTTCCAGATGTCGAGGCCCCGTTTTTAGCAATGTCTTTACAGGTTCTTGGATGTTTAATCTTGTCACATCGCCGGCCTGTGTGAGTGTTGGGGCAGGTGCAGATAAACCGTGGGCCGTGAGGGTCACAAATCTCCTGACACACCCCTCCGTTAATACAAGGATTGCCACGACAGCATCTGTTCACACAGCGATGTATTCCCGAGATGAACTTGCCTCTACCCTATTGCAAAATAAAAGGAAATAAACAAGCCTATAGGGAAGACCGGGAATAATAAATAATATGAACATATTAAGCCGGGGTAAACCTGTTAGCAAATGCTGTTATCAAAGGGTGTCCTGGGCAACTAAAAATAGAAATGAAATAACAATAAAAATCCTAAAAAGAATACAACATATGTCGTAAAAGATAAAAACTATATACGATTAATAAAAATACTTATAATATTAAGAGCTTTCACTAAAAAAAAGTCCTTAAGCATTGTTTTAAAAATAACAGAGAGTGAGTTTCCTTCATGCATGTCGGTAGATTATTACAAACGTGCGTTCCGAAATAATAGCAGCCTTTCTTTGCAGTTTCTGTAAAAACTTTTGGAACTAAAATGTCGAGACTATTACGCCTAGTAGAATAATTGTGCGATGTTTCGACGAAACATTCCTTGGACAGATCTGGAGCATTGTTGTAGACATATTTTTAATACAAAAAAATCTAACTTAGTAAGTATCATAGCTGTAAAGATTTTTTCAGCTGCGTGGACCGTGAGACTGTTTCTTACCCTAATTAACAAATTAAACCAAGCTGTCTAGATACCTTATTATGTTCCTCAAAAGATAGAGATTGATCTCTGTAGACACCTAAATACTTATAAAAAGGCCTACAGTTAAGAACTTAACCTCCTAAATATATAAACACCGCTAGGATTGTCAGAGTTAATCTGATTGCGTTTCATAGCAGTTCCAAAGATCGCATATTCAGTTTTGTTAGAGTAAATAAACAGTTCGTTCTTGATAAACCAATCGTACAGGAATTTGAGCTCGCCTTTTAACACTCGCTAATATCCAAGCGAGTGAATTGATGAGCGAACGAATGACCGAACGAATGAATGCACAAATCAATAAATTAGCTCACCTTCACTGTGTAGCTCTTCGCCAAATCATAATAATTAACTCCTTGCTTCCATTTCAGTGCTGCAGGCTCCATTTCTTTGTTAACAACACTAAGTTCACAGTTATTTTCCATGGAAACAGGGAAATAATTTATGGACGCGCAGAAACAGTCATCTTTACACATCACGTGACACTGGGCAGTGTTGTAGACTGTCAATCTTCGAAACACGTGACCTTCAAGGATGTGGTTATAAACAACATCTTCGTCGACAACAAACTTGAAGTTTTGGCGGGTAACATCACTGTCTACGGCAGTGAGTAGGGTCAGGTGTAAAACCAAAGCCAGGAAACACAAGGCACTCATCGTATAGATACTACAACAACATATAGAACACGAGGAAATATAAAGCTATTAACAGATGCAGTATTGACAATTCTTGCTTTCAAAATTCCAACCCTTTTCCTTGTGTTTTTTTCGTGGGTTGGTTGAAGCAAATGTCATGGATTCATAACATAGCACGAAGAATTTTCAAACTCTTCATGAAGTCGTGTATCTTACTTAACGGAAATATATGGTTTATTAATAGATAAGAAAATTTATGCGCGGAAGAATATTTGCTTTTGTGATAACTCTTGACAGAAAACAAAATTTATGTTTGGTTTCGGGAGATTTAAAACATTTGCATTACAAACTCTTCATGCTGTCGTTTGTCGTACCAAACGGAAAATATTTATTTTTGTGATAGCTTTTGACACACTCACACACAAGAAAAGTTATTCTCAGCAGTTTCGAAGAGTTAATCGTACATTTGTAATTCACCTTCTATAGTTTTAAAACGTCATTCTTCACCTTATTTTTTAAAAGAATATCTTCTACAGGCAACATGCCTCGGTAAATAGCTCGACAGTGACAAACCAGATTTCGTTTAGGAGCAGCATAAAGAATCTGACAATTTCAAATATCAAATATAAGTTAACTTATGACTTACCCGCCCATGTGCTTAGAGAGTTTACAGATAAGAGTGTTGAAAAGCTGCAAAATCTAGCTTGCTGAGTTGAGAAACACCTCTAGAAGAGACGCCTTCATATGTGTCGAGTATCACATAATCTACAGATCATCACAGCTTGTAGCCTTAACAACACTGATCGATTTTTAATTAAACGTGTTTTTCTTATCAATGTAGAGTTTGACTTCAATACATTTTGACTTTAATTAAAAACAAACAGAAAAACCGCCTTAGTTTTTAACAAGGTCTTGCTGTGCTGTTTACCGTACGCCGTTATGTAAATTAAGTCAAGAATGTAACACAAGATATTACACTGTAGAGTAACTAAACTTGAAACAAAATGCTTTAATGTAAATGGGGGCTGGTCGATGTCACTCGATAACGTTCGTTAGGAGTTAATGTCCTAGTAAGTGTTCTACTGATGTTAGGATCTTGTGATTTTTCTAACAAGTACCAGTCCAGTTTACGTATGGATACAGGATCCTAGTCTTATAAGGTTAATGGATCCGGTGCGTCCGGAGTAGCATAATATATACAACCAAAACTATTTATTTTTGCAAATATAAGTTAACCCACCTGCCGATGCGCTTAGAGAGTTCACAGTTTGTTGTACGAATGTTGAAAACCTGTGAAAGCTAGCTTGCCGGTTTGCAAAGCAACTCTAGAAAATACGCCATCATACGTGTCGTGTATCACATATTCACAGATCGAGATCAGCTTAGTTTTTTTTGCCTCAACAACATGAAATTTTATCAATTTTAAATGTTTTTCTCATCCACATAGCGTTTAACTTCAATACATTTTGACTTAAATGAAAATAAAGAGAAACCACCTTAATTTTTTGAAAAAGGTCTTGCTGTGCTGTTTGCACATGTATTATACGTAGGTAAGAGATTATCAAGGTAAGAGAGCGAATCCCCCATATAGGTCCTCTAACTAAGGTAATCCCTCTTAAGTTATTTTTAGATATTGTGCCCAGTTCTTCCGAGAGATTACGCTGTAAAACAACTAAACTTGAAACAATACTTGCAAAAAGAGTTTTTAATGGGGGCTGATGCCACTAGCTCGATAGGAATTCGTGTCATAGGTGTTATATTGATACACTCCTGATTGATATAATATTTAGATATTATTCATGTTTCTTGTTATTTACTACAGACCAGTTAACGTATGGATACAGAATTCTAGCCTTATAATGTTAATGGATCCGGTACGTACGGCATGACATAATGTATACAACAAAAAACATTATATTTAAATTTAATATTTTCGCCTCCTTTGGGGGTAAAATCTTCCGCCAGATGGATGACTCTTCACTGGACTCAAACAACTGGACTTTCAACGATTTTCATTGATAGAATTCAGTTCGTAATAAACCATGCAACATTTCAGTTAGGTAAGTTCTACACTGCGCCAGTTGTAAACAGAAATGAAGTGCAACAATCAAATTTCGATGCGTACAGGGCATGTAACAAAAGACCAAGTACTTTTTAAAGGCATGTACCGTGAACACTGCTGGAAAATTTCACGAAAATGACACGGGTACGGAAATGACAAAAGTTATACTTCAAAGTTTGAAAATTATGTTTCTGTTGACGGAAGTTAAATCCAACAAGAAATATGATGACACAATAGGAGATTACATGAACCTTGCTAAGTAGCTACCTGAATTTCGAAGCAGAAAATGACAAAATCAATCGTTCAGTACGAGGTAAAGGTTAAAATCTGTTGGTTTGTCAACGCACCAAGCACCTGTGGATAACTGTTTCTATAGAATCAAGTGTAACAAACTTTGTCGGCTATCAAGACCCTGAATTATCATATTTGCCAAAGAACTTAGGCCCCGTCCACATGTAGTCGGATATTTTTCAATCCGCAACTTTTTCTTTCCGGATTCAAAAATTTCCCCGTCCACACGTAGCGTATTCAAATCGAATTCACCTGTCCACACACATCCGATGGTATCCGGATTCACTCTAGAGAAACTAGGCCTACACGTTGTGCCGCCATGTTGGTTTATTGTTTGGTAAGAGACTGGACACGATTTTGCCACGTCATCGAATTCGAAAATATTCGGATTCGCCGTCCACGTGTTATCGGATTCGTCGCGGATTTTTTTTTTTTTTTCACTCTGGAGAGCGAATTAAAAGATATCAGGATTCGCCGGATGCGTGTGGACGGATGCCGTATCCGGAAAGAAAAAGTTGTGGATTAAAAAATATCCGGATACGTGTGGAAGAGGCCAAAAATTTCTTTGTCGCGGTTGAAGATTTTATTGGTCGGGGCGCCACAGATTTAATATAGAGCTTGCTAAGCTACAAACAGAAGTTCTTTAAACTTCAAAGAAGTTACCTTTTCCCATGAAACGCTCTAATAGCATTTTAACCCTGTATTTTAATATGTTCCAGCAGTATTTTTAATTATTAGAAATTTTAGGAGGTTATCCAACACGCACGATTGTCACAGTTTTGTGTGTGATATCTAGAAATATTTAACAATCGTTCCACGAGCGTGCGTTAGATGTGAAATGACTGATAGCCAACGAAGCACGTATCGACCAGCTAGCTGTAAGCATCTGATATCCAACAAGAGCTTTTGGAATATCTTTTTATTAAAACGAAAAAATTAAAGCAAAAATAAGAACTGAGGATTTTCTCTTTTGCGGCTTTCCGGCTTCCGGAAATATTAAGGTATAAAGGTAGTGTCCCTATGCAAACTTTGTAACAAAGATATGTTTCAAGATTACTATCTACTTAATTATTTTTTTACCGTGTATCAATTAAGTCTTTCAGGAATACAAATTGTAATTACACTAGGAAGTATAACATTTTCTTGACAGTCCTGAACCAAATTTTTACTGACTTAATTTTGCCCTTAGCAGCGCCCCAATAACTTTGCTCAAGTACTCAACTAGCTTGTGTTAAATTGTCTCCCACGATTGAGAGGTGTGGGGTCTAGCCTGGCAATGGCCCTGTGCTACGGTAAAGGTTTAGGACCGTAAGGAACGTTTTCTCTATTTTTATAAATGTAATGTCTTTTCCATCGTCAGACGTGGAAATAAGCGACAGGAATTGCCGGGCGCAAACCTCGAAAGTGTTGAGTTTAAAACTCTGACGAAGCTGCGTCCATTCCAGAAACAAAGACTATTTTACAAGTAGGAGTGGCGAATGGCAAAATCCGAGACTTGTCGAGACGCCGAGACTGTTGTTTAAAAATTCGAGACCGAGACTTAAACGATTTCGGAAAATCCGAGCCCGAGACTCAGTGCAGAGAAAACCGAGCCCGAGACCTTAATTATGCAAAACTCCGAGCCCGAGACGCGCTCTTGGTCACTTGAAACTGGATCTCAGTTAGGGAACTGGTCAAAACTATTATAAATCAATAACTTGCAGTTTATTTGAACTACCAAAATAGCAGTCACAGATAAACGCTAACTATCTAGTTATGCATTAACATTTCGACCTTTTTACGGCCTATCACGACCCGACTTTCAGCTACTTTCGAGTTAACGTACTGTCATCAACTTCCGGTCAGCTAGCTTCAAACATCTCATAGCTTCTCATCGGTCATCATCTGTTAGTTTCTCGACCTTAGTACGCGATCTAGTTTCAGCTGCTAAACATTGTTTGACCTACCGTACTGGTTGATATAACGCGTTGGGGACGGGGAAAGGGTGGAGGACAAGAAACGGCGAAAACGCAAATGTAAGTAAATTGTTAACTTTGTAATTATCCATACATGATTATTCGTGAAGACGTCCGGGCTTATTATTCTCGTGTCTCCAGACATTGCCTACAAAAGATGTATCTTGACTAGCTCTTGCTATTCGTAAGCATCGATTAAGGAGGTCTACATATGCATTTGGTTGTGTGTTTGTAAGGCTTTTACTCTAAAACTGTATTAGCTTGTATTTTAACCGCGCAATGAAAGACTAGTGAAGCATCATAGTGACCGGCTGTCATGGCGTGAACAAATTCGCCGGCAACTTATTTTCTTGCACAGGCCACCTGTGTGAGTAACCTAGTGAAACGATAATTTCGACCGCGAAATGGATAAAAACCCAGGCTCGACACCGGAACAAGTTTGACTAGTGTTTGTAAGCTTTTGTAGACGAGCAGGCAGCACCACTGAAAATAAGCAAAACCGGAAGAAGAAGAAGTGAAGAAGTGAAGTTAGTGCCAAAGATTCAAGCCCCCTTCTTGTGTGATGGAATTGAGCCAAATTCCTAGGAAAGAACCCTCCAAAGAAACGGCAGTCAGAGACAAAAATTGTGCCAGTACTTCCAGAGGGCTTCTCTGAGGCTTCCACACAGATACCAAGTAGCTTAACATGCAAGGACGAGGAGTTCGACCCATGT